ACCCATAACTTGAGAATGACGTTGAGCTATCAGAAACAAGTTGACATAGTATCAACATGGCTAAGTGCCTAGAAAAGATAGGTTTTGGACTTTTGTGCAACAGTGCTTGCTAAGAATTAACTCGTACCATTCTCTATTAATTGAAGCTAGGCTGAAAAGTTTATCAATACTAGGCATTGAATCCAGGGCCTTAGACTTATTAAGCAAGCACTATACTACTGGCTACCTCCCCAGGCTTTATTTTATTTTCTATTTTAAGCCAGGGTCCAAGTTGTGCAGGCCATGAATTTGTGATCCTTCTGCTTCAGCCTCTCAAATAACTAAGATTACAGGTGTGTGCCACACCCCTAAATTCTCTTAGCTGAAACTGAGACTTATTACAATAGTAAACTCAGCGTGAAATTGCAGTCTAGGCTCATGAGACAGCAATAAGCAGAACAGGAAAGGGCATAGGAAGAGATACTGCAAAAGACGGAGGAATTAGGGGAAAGGGCTGGCTTTTAGCACGCAGTTTTTGAACACTAGACTAGCAAGGGCCAGAATGACCCTGTGTGACAACAAGGCCCATGTGGCCAGTACTGGGCCATGTCTCAAGCTTGCTAGATCAATCCTCCCAGATATCCCAGGTACCTGCTAGGTCTGTGAGTACATGGGAACCCTAAAAGTTCAACAAGATCTTTAGTGATGCTGAAACCCAGCTACAATGCAGGAAATCTCAAGGGTATGTCCAGTGTTCTTCTCTACTGCATGACACCTCTGTTTAAGAATATATAACCTCCTTCTCAGGAAGTGCCCCTATGTTTAGATGGCTCTCATCATGAAGAACTTTTCCCCTACTGCCTGATCCTATCTGTCCCCTAGCAATGCCAGGCCCTGGGCCTCATTCTGCTCTCTCGAGCTGTCTATCTAAATCTAATCCTTTATCACCATGACAGTCTGTTCCATTCTTCCTAAATCTCCTTTCTTTAGGATAAACTGTCTACATGACTTACTAGTGGATTTAGTGACAATTTCATAATGCTCTGTCCATGTAAAGTGCTGCGCATGTGTGGAGTGGGATCCTAAAGTCAATAACACCTCCTCACTCTTCAGCCCAACAGGATGAAGACAGAAGCACGGATGGTGGACTCTAATACAAAGAAAATCAGTAAGCAGTATAACAAACTTTCAAAACTCACTATGGTGTAGGTATGGAGAAAGAGTACACTCTTGGAATACCTAGGAAGGTTTCCAAGAAGACGTGGGACTGGGGTGAATTTTGAAAGACTTCCAACAAGGTGGGGGAAAGAGACAGGTGGGCAGTGGAAAGAGCATAGGATATGATGTGAAAACCTGTTTTTATTCTTTTTTTAGGTTTTTCTTTTCTTGGCTTTTTAGGGGGTTAATTCCATTTCTTATTTACAAAAATTATATGTATTTGTGGGGTACAAAGCAATGTTTATAATATGGAATGATTAAATCAAGTTAATTAAATTCATCACCTCACGTATTTCTGTGTGGTGAAAATATGTAAAATTTGTCAGCAATTTCAAAACATATAATGCATTGTTGGGTTTTTTTTTTTTTTTTTATTGGTGCCGGGATCAAACTCACGACCACCTACTTGCAAGGCAGGTGCTTATGCCGCTGAGCTAAATCCCCAGCCCCATATAATGCATTATTATTTATTATAGTCACTATTCTGTACAGTAGATCACTAAACCTTACCCCCTTGTCAAACTGAAACTTCAAATATTTAATCACTATCTATCTTTCCCCCAACTACTCTCCTCCACCAGCTTCTGGTAACCACCATTCTACTCCCTACTTCTGCAACAACTTCTTTTAGATTCCACATACAAATAGTTCATGCAGTATTTCTCTTCCTGCACCTGGCTGATTTTACTTAATATAATGCCTCCCAGATTCATCCCCATTGTCACAAATGACAGGATTTTTTGAAGTCTAGATTTTAAAGCTGCATTGTATATGTATACCAGAATTTTTTTTTCCATTAACCGACTGATGGACACTCAGTTTTATTCCATTTATCTTGGCTAAATACAACTGCAATGGTCATGGGAGTGCAGATATTTTTTTAACATACTGACTTCAGTTCCTTTAAGGTACATAACTAGAAATGGAATTGCTGAATTGAGACCTTGGCTTCTCCTCTGTTTGACCTTGAGTGTACCTAAAATGAAAGCTTTGGACTAGAAGATCCAGTGATAGAAACCAAAAAGTGTACAAGTCTGAGTACTCCAACTTAGATAAAAACCTAAAAGTGTAAGGCAAGCCTGCCCATAACAAAGGAATGAGGTGTGCATTTTGGGCAGGGATAGTGGGGAAAAGGGGTTATTGATTCAGTATTTTACTAGCCTCACTTGTGCAGAACCTGTCACTACTCTGATCACACCCTTTGGGACACTAAAAGCGAGGGAGCCAGCTGACCATGGACTGAACCCTCTGAGACCATGAGCCAAAATAAATCTCTTCTTCTTTAAATTTTTTTACGTCAGGCATTTTGTCACAAACACTCACACCGGCACCAGCACCACCAGCAGGAAAAACACATCTCTATGGCATGTCTGTGAGCCACACACCTTTGGTAGTACTTCACAGATTAACAGTTACTTCCCTCTGGCTCCTCCTAACAGCCCTAGGAGAGAAGTATACTTTTTATTACTACTTTACAAATGTAAACCAAGAAATCATAAAGCTAAAATGATAAAAGACTTTTTGGGTATTTGGGTATGGAATAGACTTGCAAATCAGAACACACAGTTTCAGTTAGACACCCAACATGTGTTCTATTCAGGAATTTTTAAAGAGAATGATGGCATGAGTGAATAACTTTTTAAAAGCAGTTTTGTTGGTCTTGTAAGTTATGCAAGTTGTTCTGATGTGTTAGATTGGTGGGAAGGGGATGTTTTGTTTACATAGAAGCTCTATATGATTAGTCACTATGGGAAAGTTGAAGGGAGGTTATCAATAAGAAACGAGTCTTGGGGGCTGGGGGTTTAGCTCAGCGGCATAAGCACCTGCCTTGCAAGCAGGCGGTCGTGAGTTCGATCCCCGGTACCGATAAAAATGAAAAAGACAAAAAAAAAAAAAAAAAGAAACGAGTCTTTGGAGACAGTCAGGCAGTCAGAAGTTCCAGGAATGGAAAGTGTTGCAATCTTGGAGTCTTGCAAACACTTTCTTCCCAGGTAGCATTCTTTTCTGGAAGTTGAAGATTGAGGAGCTTGAGTCTGTGAAGTAAACAGCAGCCCATCAAATGCAACCTTGGAATCTGACAGTTCTGTTATTTCTCTTGACCAGACTTTGGCCCGCTTAATTTTCACTTCCACACAGAGAGGTTAAATAACTCACTCAAGTGTATAAAGCTAGTCTAATGGCAGAGTTTACTTGAATGTAGGCAGTCTGACTTCCTGCTTTACTTCCCCAATTTAAAAAAAAAACACAAAAGTAAGGCTGGGGATGGGGCTCAGTGGTAGAGTGCTGCCTTAACACCCAAGAGGCACGGATTCAATTCCCGGCACTTTAAAAACCACAAAGACAGGGCCCAACATTGCTCTACAGGCATGATCTGCCCCACCAGGGAAAGATATGATGGTCCTATACTTCCTTTTGTATTCCTTTAACTCAGCCTAAAATAACATTGAAAGCCAGATTTCATTCTACAACAATCTTGGAACCAGAACATTATCTAACGATACCTCTCCCAGTGCAGAAATAGTGTATCAATATCAGCGGCAGCTCTGGAAGCATTAGCTTTGTACTGGGCACCTGCTAAGTGTTTCTCATGTAACACCCTTATAGTCCTTTAATCTTTGCACAAAGTCAGATATGTGTGCAAGACCCTGGATACAATCCACAGCATCACAAAAAAAAAAAAAGAAAGAAAGAAAGAAAAAAATTATTACTGTTCTCATTTAACAGAATAGGAAATTAAGGCTGGTGAGGTTGCTCAGAATCCTCTTATGAAGCAAAAAACTCAAGGTTCATTTACTGCATTATCTAACTCCAGGGCCTGAACTTTCATCCATGTCATCTATAAACCTGTTTGTATCATCTATAAACTTGTCGTTATCTAAGTTAACCATAAAAACTGTCAAAACGGGACCAAGGACAGATCTCAAGGGTAAATTACATCTCTCCCAGGATATATGAACCAATCACCCATATAGTCATAAATAAAAGATGAAGTATTTTGACAAAATTTCATGTGTCAGAAAAGATAAACAATTTACTTCACTCATACCCACAGTGAAAAAGGAGGTGGAAAGCTAAACAATTCAGAAAGGTCACATTCCTCAGCCCATCTTCTTGGAGCTAAGGCAAAACTGAGAAGCTGCCCAAAAGAATTCTACCCTGCAATACCTCTGCCTGTTCCCATGCATCTGCAGATGTCTATTAAAAGCCCTGCAGGTGTGAGTGTGCATTTCATCAATGCCTCCCCTCATCTGTGGGAGATAGTATTCATCTGTTCTGATCAGCGCTGCAGGAACACATGTGTATTGATCAGCTTTCTGGGTGCTGGGAAGAATATCTGATATCTGTGATTTAAAGAGGGACAGGTTTATTTGGCTAGTGGTTTAAGGGGATTCAGCCCAGAGTTAGCTGGCTCCAGTGCAGAAACATCATGGCAATGACATATTCTTCACAGGCACACCCACAGTGATCCACCACCTCCTACAGGACCTAACCTCCTAATACATTAATACTGGTAAGCACAGGGCTCTCATGACCCAATCACCTCTCCAGGGTCTCAGTCCAGTCAACAAATATGGTTACGTTCAGGCACAAGATGAAACCTGTTATCCTAATAGTTCATAAATCAGCCACTTAATAATTCAGCATAGGATTTTGCAGGAATTAGCTAAAGTGTGAGGCTTTTGAGATCTGCCAACTCCCTAAAACTGGGAGACCCACTACCAGCCCTTAGGCACCTGTGGGCAGTGGAGGAGAGAAAGGGGACAGTCTCCTTCCCTGTGATCCGCTTAAAGCTGTAAACGTACCTGAACCATCTCCAAATGTGGTGAAAGTTCATTGTCTCTTCATCTTTCCCAACTGAGACTTCTTCCCTTGGTAGAAGATAGTCAAGTTGACTTAGAGCAGCCTGCTTTCTCTGCCTTCTGTTATGCACAAACTTGAAAAATACCTTTCCCTCTGTGGTCATTAACGTTTTCAAGACCCTCTGTGTTTGGTCTGCCACTCTTCTTTTAGGCTGGTTTGTTTTTCTTTGTTACTTTCTTTCTGTGGTTGTCCTTGTTGCTGTTGTCATCACAGCCACTGACAAAGACTCCTTGACCAGACTTTAGTCAGGCCCTCCTGAGGCTGCTCGGCCTTGTCTTGTTGTTGGGCTCACAATCTGCCTCATAGCCAACCAAACTCCTTCCCACCTTCTTGCTCCACAAGTGATTACATCTGCTCACCCTGGCCAGCTTCAGCTTACTCCTGTCAGGTGGGTTTAGCCCAGACCCTTCTTACCCCTGATATTTTCTCTCTCTGACTTTCTATCCACTGATTCTCCCCACCTACTCCTTGGCTTTACATTTCTACTTGTCCATGCTGGTTTCAGAGAGGAGCCCAATCCCTCTCCCCTATTGCAAAAGCCCAATGGCAGGAATCCCTAACAATGGCAGAAATCCAGGAAAGAGTGCCTGCCCATTTTAACAAGTGTCAGAATAATTCTTCTTATAATCTCCTTTAGGCACCTCTGTGTATGCACTTTTAAAGTGAGAGCTCTTCAAAAAAATCCTTCTTAGCCTCAAAATCAAGTGTCTTTCTCTGGATCACTCCCTCATACCCCTTATGTAATTAAAGGTAAAATCAGAAGACCTAAAGATTATTGTCAGCTAATCTCAATCCATAAGAATAAGACATGCATCCAAGGAGAAATTTAAAAAACAACAACAAAAGGAAGAGACAAGGTGAGGGATGTAGCTCAGCAGCATAGCACCTGCCTGGCAAGCACAAGTTTAATTCTCAGGACCAAAAAAAAAAAAGAAAGAAAAAGAGGAGCCGGAAGGTCCAGAGAATTTAAATGATTTAGCAAATGTTAAAAGATTAAGGAAAAAAAAACTTTACAGAAAAACCATGATTCTCACTAAATATAAAAGAATCTATTGAATGTTTTTATGTAATTTATGTAACTGGAGCCAATAAAATATTAGTCAGTTCAGAAGAGAACTCCAACTACCACACATTTATAGTCAGACAAATACTGAAATGGATCTACAAACAGGCAAAACTGGAAAAGCCGGTCTGTATCTGCAGGACAATGAACTGTTGCATTCTATAGAGCTAATTTTTTTTTAAATGGGAGTGATCATTTGTTTTACTATGCTTTCTACAAGTTAATTTTATCTACTGAGTTATGAAATAACCTACTCTGAAGCAAACAAAGAGACATAGCTCTGTCGAATCAATCCCCAAAGCTCCCAGCATTCCTTTGAAATAATAACCAAGTAATCTCTTTAGCGCATTTCATATCTTGCAGCTTTTCCTTATGAAGGCAAAAGGCAGTGACAAAGGGTCCAAAAAAGAAAAAAGGAAAAAACGTTATTAACAAAGAGGATAGATTTAGAGTGGTTTGGAACTCGTGCGCTAAAGACAGATCCCTCAGATCCCAGCTTTGCTACATGTGATTGAATCTTACTAAATCCTGTGCCTCAGTTTCTACCACTACACAGCCGGGTTATTAATTGGCAAGGAGTAAAACGATGGCTGTTATTGTTATACTGCTTTGGAGCCTGCCGCCATGAAAGCTCCCCTATCTTTACTCTAAAAGCTGATGATGGAATGCCAGAACTTCCTGAAAAATCACAAGTAAGATAACAGAATTTGATAACAAATTTCCTATTATCTTGCTAGTCCAACCAGCACTATTCTGTCAGGCAGGTTCAGATTCAAGAGAAGGCAGAGTTTTGAACTTTCAAAGGGAGTCCTGGGGAAACAGATCAGGGTATGTTTCAGCAAGGTGTGCTGTGCAAATTCCTCAGGCGCTGATCCAGAGTTGGCTCCAGCTTTGAGGAATTTCTGCCCTTCCTCACAAAGTGGAAAGGGCAGAGAATTTGCTGGAATGAGAAGCATGAGCCACTGTGCCTGGTTTACAATTTCTTTAATATTCCCTAAATTGACCAGAGTGGTACAATTACATGCAATAAATATGATGCTGGTGAAAATTCACTTTGAGTAGCCAAGGTCTAATTGTCCACGATCTAACTACTATTCATGTCGTGTCTCCTGGATCTGCCTGCCTAATGTTTAAATAACCAGTTCTTCCCCTATTTCTGTGAAAATTGCCTTTTTTTCCATCTCACCATCCTTGCTTCCCTCACCTTCACATTTCCATCAGCCATGCTCAAGGTTTCATCATTTCAAGGACAAGCATAAATACCTACTTCCGTTAGGAATCTCTGATTAGAGAGTACAATCAAATTTAACTGTTTCTTATTTCACTTATATAGGGACTCTTATCCCTAAAATAGGGATATATGTCTCTAAAGTCTTCATGACTTTTACTATGGCGGAGGTTGGTTAGATTCACTTTGTAAAGGTTTTTCAGTGGCACCATTTAAATATAATTTTTGAATCTCACACGATTATATACCATGATATAAAGTAGAGCCAGCAAGACTAGGATTTGGATCTCAGGTCAACTGACAATGACAAGATTCTTTACCTCCCTGAGCTTCAGTTACCTCACCGGCAGAGCAGAAATCCTAACACCTGCCAGCTACTATATTAGGTAGTTAGTAAATATTTGTTAAACTGATCAAAATAAAGTGTGAAGAAGTATAGGAGGAAAATCTGGTAGTTTTTCCTAAGGGCAGTGAAAGTTGTTTGATAAAGGATGAAAAATTCCTTTTAGAGTCAAATTACAGGAGCAAAGGTTGGCCCCTCCTTCTGTGAAAGAGCCCAGGGTGGGGCTTAATGAGGAAGTGGCTCTCTTTCCCTGTCACTGGCTCCAGCATTCGTCTAAACCTAAGGACCTAGCGACAGACAGCCTGCGGCTGTAAGTCACAAACACCTTTCTAAGTGAGAAGACAAGAAGACCTGTGGGAAGTTACCTCTCCGGTTTCAAGTTCCGGTGGAGACACTAAGGTATAGAAATAGCCACCTGCCACCTGACCTGAAGGAGGACAGCCTCAAACAGGTAACCAGGAGGCAGCAGGCTCCTTCACACCTTGCAGGAGGACACAGTTGGGCTTCTGTGTAGATTTTCCCAAATAAGGCAGCCTAACTCAGGGAGCTATTGACTGAGCTTATTATAAAGCTCCTTATCAGTCAATCTCAAGATACAGAAAGACACTGAGAAGCTAGTTAACTAGAGTTCCCAGGAAAGGGGGAGAAAAAGGGTATGAAGGTTTCTCTTTCATTTCTCTTTTGCCACAGAGAGATCTGGATGGTTCAGTAAAAAATATACAACTGGCCAAGTTCTTTTTAACGTGTGTGGTCTTCTCTGAGTACCTATAGAACAAGATATGTGACAACACCACAACTCGTCAGTGGCCAGGTGCCTCTGCCTACTTGGAGACCATGCAGGGATGGAGGCCCAAGGTGGGGATCCCTGAGCTTGCCCAGAGGCCTGAGCACCTGGCAGACCCAGGGCTGCTCATCCAAGTCCTGGCGGAACCAGTGGGGACTTGCTTGAATATTAGGTCCAAGTAAAAGCAGAGAGCTACCTACCAACCCTGAAGAAAGCTGGCTCCTTTTCACAGTCCGAGCATTAGCTCTTCTGTAGGACAAATACAGTGTTTCTGATTCTACTGTGGGAAATGAAGGCGCTGTATATGATTCTTTATTTCCCTTTATTGAAAGAGCAGATCACACTCGGAGATGACAGACAGGGCAGATAGAATAAAGGCACCAAAGAGGGCTAGAGCGAGAAGAGGCCAGAAAACCTCATGGGCAGATGGATCCAGGAGGAGGAGAGCCCAACAAAACAGAGCTTAGGAGTTAGCCTAGAAACCCTTGTCCAGGAGAAACATGAAGCTCGGAAGTGCTGGGTGAACTGAAATCAGCTCTTTTTGTGGGGCTATCACCAAAGGGTTCTCCGTGATTCTTTCTTCACCGACAGGTAGAGGTGAGAAGGAGCAAGCATGTGGCAGAGTTTAAATACTGGGTCACGGCAGCCTCTGTATGTGGAGTTGCCCTGTTGTTGTTACTGTGTGCCTACTCATTACCTGCCAGGGAAGGAAGGGAAAGTAAGTCTCACTCCATAAAGGACCCCACAGCATGAGAAAACTCCCAGTGTGTGCAGACCTTCCAGGGAAACTGAGGTCAGGCCAGGCAGCTAGGTTCCCAAAGGACACACTGGGGGAATACCTTGAGGGGAGGGCTTAGCCCATTGCAGGTTGGGGCCCCCAACAAAAGAAGCTGTATAACCTTACCTCTGGGAGTGTAGTTTTGTGACAGATAAAGAGAAAGAATGTAAATGTAGGCTGGTAAAAAAAAAAAAAGGGCTGGGTCCCAGAGTCACTGACCTGGAATAAACTTCATGGGTCTTAGAGAGGAACTAAACCCTCCTATCTCCAGGTTCTGGAGCAAGGCGCCAGGCTCCATAAACAGAATGTTCATAGTTCCCATTTCTGTGGGCCCAGAAGTTAGGCTTCTTAAGGCAAAATGTCAGGAATTACTGACAGGAGATGGGTACCACAAAGTGTGATAAGTTTCTTCACACAATATGGCTTCAAAGAAAAGCTTGGCAATTAACAGTAGCTTTCTCTTAATTTATAATGCGGCTTAGTGAGAAGGAAAACTTGTTCCAGACATTGTGTCTTTATAATGCCTTTATGTCTCTCTCTGTTTCCTTCACCACACACACCAGGCTCCTGAGACCACATCCCTTCCTTCCTTCCTTCCTTCCTCACAGGTGGCCATGTCCTGAGCGTCCCGGATTTGCACCTCTCTCTTCCACACCACACTGCTTGTTGGGTGGCCCATACCCCCAGTTTCTTTCTGGCAGAAAACGTCCACAAAGTGGCAGGACACTGTGCCCATCCTGACCACGGTGGTTTTTTCGCTTGTAGCACACCTGTTTCTCAAAGAAGGCAGCCTCTTCTGCTCCCCAAGGGCATGCACGCATGCACAGAAATGCAATTTTAAAAGCTTCACACTATGTTAAAAGGTTTGGTTTGGGTTTTTAACTTACATGAAAATCTCTTCAAAGCACAGCAGTAGCAGCTTCCCCTCTTTCCTCAGGACATACTTCCTGCCTTTTGTACTCCAAGCTGCCAATTTAGAAGGAAACTTCCTACTGAGAACCTCCTGAATCTTCCCCTGAGAAATCCCAGCTCTGGTCTCTTCCCTGGACTCCGCCTCTTCCACACCAGACCATCTGCACATCACTGCGACCCCCACCCCGTTTTTGGCTGAGGCCACTGCTCGCCTCAAATCCCTCGGTTTCAACCCTCTGTCAACTTCACCCCACACACACACACCTCAGGTTTGACGATTTGTCAGCAACATCTTTCATTCCAGGGTTGCCAAATTTAGCAAAGCAAAATCTGATAAGTGTGAATTTCAGAAAAACAATGTATTTTTTTGGTACTGGGGATAAAACTCATAACCTCGTGCTTGCCAAGCAGGCACTTACACTGCAGAACTAAATCCCCAGCCAAAGCAATGTACTTTTTAAGTTTATATTTTTATTTGTGACATACTTATACTAAAATCGATTCCTATTTATTTGTTGAAATCAAATTTAACTGATGTTCATTATTGCATCCCTATAATCATTCACTCATCAAATATTTATTGAGTACCGCCTGTGTCGTGGATTGATGTTAGGAGAGACATCCAAAGGCCAAGTCTTATCATACAGTGTATATATTTTTATCATCTATTCATGGACAGTAAGTACACTGACAAATGTATGTTTTTGTTTGCAAACAATTTCACCCCCAAAGGATGCATTTGGGAAAATTTTGTTTTTGTTTACAAACTCTTAACTGGGTGACAGATACAACCATTGCCAGCTTTCCCACACAAACACAAAGGTGACCATTTTTCCAAAGTTGTAGAACAAATTAAGATTGTGAATTATGGGTATCACTGTATATTTTTCAACAAAAATACAGTCTGCCCCCCCCCCAAAATATATATATACATCAGGAGAAAAAAAAACTTGTATAAATATTTTAATACCAAGTTTATTGCAACATCATGATATCACCTTTTGCCTCTACAATTACAAAAGGTGCTCAAAGTGGTGTCCATTGGCTTCTAGACATTGATTAGTATAATAAACTGTTGAAGCGTATTCATTTTTTGGTGGATTCTGTGTTATTGCACTTAGCAAGATCATCTGTATTTCTTCAGTAGCTTCTAAAACACGTATTTTAGACGTCCCCTACCATCTCAAAAACATTTACATCTTTGTATCATAAATAGGCTTGAACTGTTTTTCTTCAGTACAAGAATTAAACCCAGGGTCTTGTTCACACAGACCAAGTGCTCTAACACTGAGCTCCTACCAGCCCCACTGTGTTTGAATTTAGCTCTAAAGAAGGCTCACTCATTGCACTGATGTCTTTAAGTCTCTTTTAATCTGCAGCAGTTCCCCTCTTCACCTTTGGGTGCGCGGGTACACATGTGTGCTCATGCTGTTTGCTGAAGAAACTACCTTTTTCATCTTGTAGATTTACCATATCCTAAATTTATGTGGTTGCCTCCAAGCCACTAGCTATTCATCTATCTCTGTGAACTATAGTTAAATCTAGAGGCTTGATTACATTCATGTCTAATTGTTTTACACTATACAATGGTTGGGAAGATTGTTCATGGAGTCCAAGTACTGTTGATCTGATCCAGGTTTTGTCCTATACATTTTGAAGAGATCATTTGGTTGTTAGATGGAGCCTGGGTTGGAGGAAGGGCAAGAGGAGCATTCCTCCATGGTCCAGGTCAGAGATGACGGTGTTCTACTACAGGAAAGTAGAGTTTAGCAACACAAAATGTGTGATACAATAGACAGGACCTTGCTGGGGTCTGCATAAGACTCATGAGATGGACAGGGTAGGGGTGGAGAGACTAGATGGGATGGATGGCCTTGGTGACTAAGGGGAAGGTCCAAGGTGGGGAAGCTGGAAGGAACATGGTCTCTGAGATATTAGAGAAACTCCTGACAAAGTCAGAGTTCATCTTGTGTGAATGCAAACCTAGAAGCAATTGAAGGAAGACAAATCTGTTGAAGTGCTAGCATAGGACAGGATTGCAAAGACACAGAAGGAAGAGGAAGAATCAAGACTAAGAGCATGATCATCTCACCCTCCTCGTGTTTGCTTACACTGTTATCTGAGGCAGGCTTGTGGGGCTTGACAGGATTGTAAGAATGTGTCTGCATGTATGGTAAATGTGTGCTGTGTTTGTGACTCTTCCCGCTCGTGTCCTGGGAGTCCATTTGTGCTTCTCCATCCTCACCTAATTTCTGGCCAGGTCCTTGAAGTTCCCCACTTCCCTTCCCTCAGAATCCCCATAGCCAAGGCCCAGTGCTTTCTCGGGGACTGGTCAGAGAGCCAAGCCAGTCATCAGTTGGACAGCTTCTCCATGAGCCAGCATGAGCCTCTTCTGCATGAAGAGGGAAGCCCCGAGGGGAACAGGAGGCCCTGGGAAGGACTGCAGGAAGAGATTTTAGTGCCTGCAACTCCTTCAGATAGCAGACCCAGAGGGAAATTAGAGGCTATCCTGTCTGTAGGAGAACCAATGACCAAAGACATTAAGTGACATCCCAGGCTTATGGCGAGATAGAAGTTGTGTGACCCTGGCCTTGCATCCTGCAGGCACATACTCAAATTATCTGTACCACCTCAGACTACCTCAAATTCCATCTGTAGTTACTGTCCCATTTCTTTATAGCTTGGTTATAGTATGACACGGACAATGGAAAGAGAAGGAGCAACATGCGTGTCTACCCATTACTATCACTACAGATTTTCATCATACCAGCTCTCATGCCAAAAGACCAGTAGGACCAGTAAGAGACAGGTACATGATTGAGTCATGCCAGAGCCACAGCCCACTGTACAGAGTTGTATAGTCATGTGTCACATAATAAGGTTTCAGTCAACAATGGAGCCCAGATACAAAGATGATTCTATAAGATTTTATCTGCTAGTGATGTCATAGCCCTCTTAGTTTGTGTAAATACACGCTGTTTGCACAGTGATGAAACTGCTTAGTCAGATGTGGTATAATTGTAATTCTAGCAGTTTTGGAGGTGGAGCAGGAGGATCACAAGTTTAAGCCCACTCTGGAGAGTTCACAAGACTGCTTCAACATTTTAAAAAATTTTAAAGAAGGTGTGGGATGTAGTTCAAATGTAAATGCCTTGAGTTAAATCCTTAATACTTCCAAAAAAGAAAAATAAATTGCTAATCAATGGACTTCTCAAAATGTCCCTGTCATTAATGCATCTAGGACCACAGGAAAATAATACATAGCTGCAAACAAGATTCAGAGCCAAGACTTCTCAGGCAATGTCTTGTTTGTACCCCCATAATATTTCTGAAAGATGACTTTATGATTCACAATTTACCTACAGGAAACTCAAGTTCAGAGACCTGCTCAAGGTCACAAAACTAGTGATTAACACAGCCAGGATTTGAATTTAAGATTGTTAGACTGAGAAGCCCAACTCATTTTCAAGCAAATCTAATGACTACTAATTATTGATCCAGTGAGAGCTAGCAAATCTGTGTTTATGTCATGTGAGACCAAAAAACAAAAAAGCAGAAAGAAAGAAAGAAATTTTAGTCCTTAATGTGCAACTGAAGAAAACAAAGTAGGTTATTAGCAAAGAGAAATATTTTCCTAGCAGGAAACCAGAAAGGGAGTTATTTCATAAAAGCATAAGCAAGCAAAATTGAACAAAATCTGCTCATTACATAAACACAGTTAGTTAGATGGGAATCGAGATGAAACACTTCCACCCTCGCCATGTTAGGCTTGTGCTAATCCTTCTGAAGCACGCCTGTGATGATATCACCCTCCCAACAGGACGTGGAAAGGCTCTCCATTGCTTCCATCAGTGCTTTTTAAATGTATAAAATAATAACACATTATTATTAGCCCTGGGTTCCTCCCCAGCACCATAACAATAACAGGATACTTTTATCTGATGAAATCTTACCTGCAAACAGAAGCAAACCTGGAGAAGCTAAGGCAGAAGGTACCTTCAGTATTTGGAGAAAAGGCAGCTAAGGCAGAAGGACAAAAAGGAAGGATATTGTTGGGGATTCAGACATTTTGTCTTCTTTGCACACCCATCCGCCATCCCCATAGCCTCAGACTGATTAATTTGAAAAGTTTCAAAGGTCCCAGCCTGATATTCAAAAGCTCCCTTGGCCTGGCTTCAATATCACACCCTCCCCACTATTCTGGAGTCCTGACTGTCCTCAAATGCATACCTTATAGCAGGGTGGCAAACCTATGGCACATGTACCAAAGCTGCTGTTATCAATGAAAACTCTCAAAGGTTCACCATAAGTGCGTTATAGTGTAATATACATGTGCTAAACCAGGTATGGTGGGGCTTGAGGAAGCCAAGGTAGGAGGAGTGTGAGTTTGCTGCCAGCCTGGGAAACTTAGTGAACTCACCTGTGTAGTTTATCCTGGACTACATAGTGAGACCCTGTCTCAAAAAGAAATCAAACAAAATGAAACAGAAAAAACACATCCTGAAGTCACGCAGTCTACACTTAGGCCATTCAGTATTCAGTTCTTTGTCTGAATATCTACCTGTCTAAATCTCTGTCCTTCCAAAAGTTTTCATTCATCATCCCTGTCCCAAGTAAACTGTCCCTGTCCCTGCCCCATGTCTCTGTACCTGGCTATCTTCATCTCCATTACAACCCTTAGCTCATTCTTTGGAGTTATTTACACCCACATATCTTCCTCTTCCAGGAAGACTCAGGATTTTCTACCTCTGGTTGCCCTGAAAAATAGAATAGGTGCTCAGTAGATGTGTACTGAGAGTTTGTGCTGTCTCTCTTGGCTTAGAAAGACTGAGGATCTGCACACATAGAAGAATACCTGTGAACCTTGTCGTTATAGGTCCGTCATGTGCAGCACCAGCACGTGTGACCTGGAAGATGTGCCCCTGGACGATGATGATCCAGACAGCATAGAATTCAAAATCCTGGCATTCTATGCCAAACACTATGTCTTCAAGGGCCCCCCTGCTGTCTTCTCACCCAAGAGGCAGAGAAAAAGAACCTTGTCCCAGCAGGGGCTGGGGAATTGGTCAGCTGAGTCATGGACACAGGTGTTGCGGTCTGCCAGAGGTTCCTCATCCAGTGAGAAGCACATAAACCTGGGCAAGAAAAAGTATTCTTGGAGGTCAATATTTGGAGTAACAGAGAAGGAGGAAGAGCCAACAAGCTCACCAAAGGAGACCCATCGTCAGGGACTAGTGCAAGCTCAGGGACTAGTGGAATTTCAGGGTCCATGCCCCAGTGAACAGGGGTCCAGGTCCATTTCCAACGTGGCACAGCATGTGGAAAATGAAGGTAGGCTTGGGGAATCCTTCCTTTCCATGCCCAAATCTTTCTCATCACTGTGTGCACGGCATTTCTCTCTCCTGTCCTCTAAAGAAAGGCCTTAGACTGGACACTCTTTTGCTTTGGTTTTCTAGCTGATTAGTGCTCTGGAATAGTCACTCTGCTTTTCTTAAGACTATGCAGAAGGGAAGCAGGTGGCAGTGAAGGGAGGACTTGGTCTTTGGCTCCACTGTCTTATCAATAAGCTAGCTGCCCGCATTCTTTGTCCCTCCTGCTGGAGAGACACAGAAAGGGTGGAGCCTGCCTCTTGTTCTGAGGCAGCTGATCTCTCCAGCCTGCATACTTTATTTCCTTGTGTACATTAAGAGTGTCTTGCCTCTTAAGGTGGATGCAAAGACTAGACAGATACAAAAATACTTTTAAAAATACAAGCCACACTAAAAAAACAACTGAGAAACAGTGATAAAACTTTTCCTCACTGGACAAAACCAATTGTGTTGAAGATGTTTCATGGAGGGCTCTATCATATGAGTGGAACTTCGTATGAAGTTCCTCTGCAGAAGTATCGTCTCCCCAACAAGGCCAGACCCTGCGCCCACTGCTTTTAGAAAAGCCCCTCTTGCTGGGTTTGATTGGCCTGGGTAACTTGCTGATAATCCGTCAACAGGTGGCGGTAATGGCTCAATTTTAGAATACCCTACCACTCTGGCTTTCTCAGAGAACTGGCCCAGCTGTAAACCATTCGCTGTGATCAAGGAAACACCCATTCCCATTAGTTAGAGACCTTTAGCCCAGGAGGATCCTAGGTGAGGCAAGATGGGGGATGTTTGCATAAGTAACAGGAGGTAGCGTCTGCAGGGTGGAAAGAGGACTGGCCAGGGCAGCACAGCAGGGAACTGAGGACGAGAGGACACAGAGCTCCTCACTGGAGCTGTGTTTAACCTTCCCAAAGGTGTCTGCTCTCCAAGCTCAGGGGTGGCAACTCTTGACTGTAGAGTGAAGGGAGCAGATCCCCAGTGTCCTCCCCTGTGTCCCTCTCCTCCAGCTTCATCTCTCCCAACACAGAGACAGCAGGGCCCTCCTGGGTATCCATAGGGTGTGGGTGAGGGCTGGTCTCTCTGCTCCTTCAGTAGCCAGAAGAGCATTAATTAGACTGCTTTGCGGCCTGCTGTGTGGACTGTGCTGGGAGAAAAGAGGTCTTTACCAGCCTTCTTCCTGGCTTTTCTGAGATAAATGACATCTGTGTTTAGATATTTACTGAAGTATCATTTGACCTATTTTTTCTCTTTCCTAAAATTGTTTAGAAAACAAAGGTAGGGATGATAGAGAAAGTGAAAAAAGATAAACTTTATGTGAGATTAAGAGTACAAGATTAGGGGCTGGGGATTCAGCTCAGCGGCATAAGCACCTGCCTTGCAAGCAGGCGGTCGTGAGTTCGATCCCCGGTACCGATAAAAATGAAAAAGACAAAAAAAAAAAAAAGTACAAGATTAAATTAGAAACAGGTTCATTTGCTGAATAGTCTTGAGGCTGAATAACTATTCATAAAACTATAATAGATTATCCATGCACACGCACACATAGGAGGAGGCCACTGATAGTCTAAGGTGACTTCTGGGACTCCAGCCATCATATGTGCATTTTAAGCAAGAAAAAAAGAGAAGGCCAGAGGGTGCCTTCTCTCTACATGACTCAGCTTACTTTTAAGGTACTTTCTTGAAACAGCCCACAACTTTTTTTTTCAATATGGATGGAATAAATTTATTTATTTAATTTTCCTTCCAAATCCATTTTATTTCAAGAATAAAAGTAAAAGAAAAAGAACTACAACAAAATTTCAAAACACGTCAATCAGGGAGTCACAACTTCTATACATATATCTCATTTGTACATGTATAGAAACTTCTCTTTATAAAGTAGAAATGATTACCTCCCAAGGCTTCCTTATCTTCCTTCTCACAGTTCTCATCCCTTTCTTGCTGAATTGGTTAATTATATGGTTGTTCCAGTAACTGTGCTGGTTTTACACTGGGTGCAACCCGAAGGAGTCTCAGAGTCCATTTCTTGGTTGCCATAAAATAGCCAGAGTTTAGCAGATGGTTTCCCATGGCTTCTGTTCATGAAAGGCCACAACTCAGCTCTCCTCTCATTTCCAGGATTCAGATACCAGGCTTAAGTTGGGAACTTAGAGGCTGTGATCTGAGTCTACAGGTTGGAGGCTTTAAGATATTAGGAAAAAGATGTGAATACCAGTCTTAGAGGATACCGGTCCTTTTTGCTTCTAATCTTGTGTCTCTACAGCCATGATCCAGTATGTATGGATGTTAAGGTTAAGGAGGTTAGGTTCAGCAAGATCAAGAGCTACAGGGAGGACAGCGGAAGAGGATGAAAAAAAGAATTAGGATGCATGTGTATTAACTCACAAGCAATGTAAACACATATTGCAAACATGTACTAATAAAAATAAAAACTATACAATGGAAAATCTGAACAACTAGGGCTTAAATACATACATGTTTATTTTTCCTCTCCCAAACATGAATGCCAAAGTATGGTGAACCAAGTCTGATGTGGGAGCTCCGTGAAGTCAACAGGTATTCCTAGGAGTTCTGCCATCCCTCGGTCACTCTATGCACCCTACATGGATGCCTGTCAGTAGACATGAAGGAAAGAGACATGGAGACACTTTAAGAGCAAGGCCAGTAGATGTTTATTTGGTAATAAATTTTGGAGGTAACTATGGCCAGGCAGCAGGAATATTTCTCTTTCCCCAGTGATGAACCCCAAATGTTTGTCAATCTAACGAATGTTCGCCTATCACATACGGGACAGCTCTTCATGGTACAAAAGGTATCCAAAAAGAGAATAAAAATATAATGAGCATTTCCTCAAAGGACTAAACATTCCCTTTTGTGATTCTCCCCTTACAAAGGGAAAATTGGACCCTCACTTTGCAAAATGAGAGTACAGAAGGGCACTTGTTTCAAGGTGAAAATTTTCCTCTATATAATCCTCTCACAGCAACTGCCAGTTCTCTTTGAAGAACCGCCACACACACTCCTGAGTCATCTCCTCTCATTCTGGGATGTCCTCGTAACTTCAGGCAGCTGTGCATACCAATATGGCAGACACAGCTCTGGGCAGGACCTCTCAGGATCATTTTGTCTTGTTTCAGCTGTGGACCCCCGAGTTGCTTCCATTGCCAACCGAGTATCTGAAATCGTTTATTCCTGGCCACCACTAGAAGAGACCCAGGGAAGATCCTTGAAGTTCAAAGAGACTTTTCTATCAGGATTCCTGGTTGAAAACTCAGAATCTAGAGCTACAACTTCTAAGAAAGGTAAACCTTCCCTCCCAGTGTTTGTCTTGGGTGGAGTGTGTGCACACAGAGGCATATGGGTATTTGTGTATTTATTCAGTTCAGAACTATGCAACCTGAGAGCCCCCCAAACCTGACCTCAACACACTGGAGGCCCTGGGCTCTGGCTGAGATGGCAACCCAAGGCACAGGGCTATGCCAGCAGATTCACCCCACATATCTCACTCGCCACTAAGCCAAAAGTCTCCTGTGAAAGGGGAATAGGGAGCACAAAGCCTGCAGTCCAGCTTGTTCTGGGGAGAGGAGTACAGTGCTAGATTTGATCATGCTATTAATGGCTCTGCACCAGTTTGCACTAGATAGACTTGGAAAATGAACTTGGGAAATACTGCTTTGGGCTCCTGTGAAACATCAGGGAGGTGTTAAGACACCAGGACTGGTGTAGAACATGAAGCACCACAGTATTAATGACCAGACAGACCAGTTATCACCAAAACCATAGTAGGAGCTGGGACTGTAGATCTAGCAGGCTGGTGGGTACACAAGGCCCTGACAGAGGAGCTGAGAGCAGCAAGACCACGTGCCACAAGACAACAAGTTCACCCTGACATTCCTCCCTGTGATTCTTTCCCCAAACTCCAGTGGAAGATACGAGATAGAAGTGGCTGTTGGGTTCACAGAACCCTAAAGGACAAAGCAGAAGTTTCCCTGCAAAACCATTAGTGTCTTGATCTCTGGCAGTGGAGGGGCAGGCTCTGCCATCATCTACCTTGCTATGGAGCCATGAACCACCACAGAGGCTCTGAATAAGGAGCCAGGGGAGATAAACCTCTGAGTCTATGAAAAAGAAAGTGTCAACACTCTACTGCTATCTCAGTAGGCTGGGATATAGGAAGCTGTATCTTAAGCCAAGCTAAAGCTAAAGGGCTTTTCCACAGTGCACATGAGGAATCCAGGCCACCATCACAGTAGCTTTCCCAGGGAAAGGCGGCAGCAGATAAAACTACCCTCAGCTGTAGAGGCACAGATTCTCCTCTTCGTCAAGTAATCAGGGCCCCAGGCTTGCTGTTTGTTTCTTCTCTTCTTGGGAGTCTGTAGTCAAGGGGGCCTCTCCTTCCCCTTACCTGAGACAAATATGGACTCCATGATTTTACAGACTGGGCCATACGTCAGAAATACTGTTCTCTCACTTAAATGGCTTTTCTCCCTTTAGGTTTTATTGTGTAGCAATAACCATTTTCATTATGCTTAGTTGTTGGTAGTTGTGAGATATAAAATATCATTGTTCACCACCCCTATTCCAACATAGGCACCAAACACCAGCAAGTAGCCATTCTGCAGCCTATCTGTCATTATAGCCTTGGAAGTAAAGACATTTACTAATTTTATGTATTTATATCCCACCTTGTTATAAAGGCATGGCCTATAAAGTATAAATTTTAGTCAGATAAAATCAAATTTGAAATTATAAAGAAAGAATGTAAAAACAGGAAAATAACATGGGTTTAGAAATGAGGTTAATCCCAAAATGTAGATCAGGAAGATTATTTGTCTTCTTAGATCTGGCTATAATTTTGGGTTTATACTTTGTAGCAGCTGCCCAAAGTCGGAAATATGATCAAATATGGAATTTAACTTATCAATAAGGAAAAAAAATAGTGTCTACTGAGATAAAAATGACAGACCAGAGGGAGGTCTAAGGGTATAGTTCAGTGGTATAGTGCTTCCCTAGAATGAACAGGCCCTAATTCAATACCCTACATTGGGGAAGAAAAAGAAAAATTAAACATAAAAAAGAAAGAACTTTCTCCTGAGTATCTTTATTATATGGACTGGAATTTATATGTTCAATAGTTTCTACAGCAGTACTCAGTAGCACAGCACCTGCCTGACAAGCTCAGGTCCTGAGTTTGATTCTCAATACCTGCCTCCCACTTAAAAAACAATTTCTACAATAAATAAAGTGATTACTTTCAAAAAGACAATTGAGGGACTGAGTCAGGGAAGGAAAAACAGAAAGAAGGGATCTGTAGAAGAGTCGCAGTGGTTGTGTTTGATCAGAACAGGTAAGATTCATGAGCTAATTAGAAATTTTCACACCCTAAACAAGCCATAAGCATTGCCACTGGAAAATTTTAAGATTAGTTTGTGCTTCTCTTGAAAGAAATAACTATAATTCCTTCTCCCAACAGATGGACAAGAAGAATTAATAGCCAAAATTGTTGAACTGCTGAAATGTTCAGGGGACCTGTTGGAAAAAGAGGTATGAACGTCCTTGAACCAACGTGATTTTGTCCTCTGTCCCCATTCTAGTGCCTGAGAACGGAGCTGTACTCCAGGTTGTAACCTTAATCCTTTCCAAAGTTCTGGTTTCCACTTAGTCCTAAATTTTATTTCCCTTGGAGTCCACACACTCCATGCTGGCAACATCTTGAAAATGAATCACTTTGGAAAACATAAGTAAACCTTGTGGAGCCTCTCTGGAATTTTTGGAAACTGGAAAAGTAACTATGTTATTGTAAGAAAAGACGCCAGTAAATTAAAATTTGCTGAATACGATTATTAATCTTGCTCCCCATGTAACTGATCCTCAGTGAAATTTAGTCTCGCATTTGCCCTGCAGCCTAGATATCTGTATCACTCAGAGGCTGGAGTCCTTTTAGAAACCTCCTAAAATTGCTAGACTACTGTCTGCTTTAATCTATCTCAGCAGCCTAGCTGAGAGGGCAGGTTGGTGACACTTAGAGAACTTGTGAACCCCCAGCCATTTAGGTGAGATCCATCTTTCTAATCCAGGATGTGTAAGAGTTGTCTTCAGGTAAAGAGATGATAAGCAAACCTCTGGTGTAGTCAGAGGGCCTCTTTTCTTCTGAAAGCCATTTCTTTTGTATCCATTACCCATCGACTATCTCTGGAGTCATAGGGGGAGGAGCTCTGACCCTGGGGTCTTCTGCAGCAGGGACAAACAGCAGGAACTGTACCCCATCCAGTCACAGCATGCCCATGGCTCAACAGTGACTAGGAGAACGACAAGAGAGTAGAGGCAGAATGAAAACCAGGGACATTAGGGTAAAGGAAAGAGAAGGGAATGTTGTGAGCTTTGGACCTCAGGCAGAGAGTGGGAGGGGTGCAGAGGAAGCAGGAAATAGAACATGACACATTATTTTAGGACAATCTTGCATTTCTCCAGAACTAGCACCGTGGATATAGTCATTAAAGGCAATTGGTTTCTCCCCTGCTAAGAATGCACTTCCTGGCATTTGGGGCCACCCATGAGGGTCAAAGGCTGCTTTGTGAAAGAGAGTGATCTATCTTCCTGTCACTGAAATTACAAATAGATACAAACAACCGTCAGCAGTTAAGAACTCAAACAGGGCGTGTGTGTGTGTGTGTGTGTGTGTGGTGTTCTTTAGGAGAAGGCTTCAAATGCTCTTTACAGCCCAGAGAGTCTGTGGCTCTCATGGCTGCCTCCTTCCTGGCATCCCTAGGCAGTGACTTGCAGTGGCCAAGTAGAGGTCAGGAAGGCCAGACCCTTGGAGTGGTATGAAGGTGACCTCTCCAGTCATGAAGAGTGATGCTTTCCTTTTTGTCTCACAGATAACCACTCTCAGAACCCTCACTTTGCCAGATGCTCTCACTCAATGGTTTTCAGTGGTATTTCCCATCATTTCTTTAGAAACTTTGCTTGCTATTCCTTGAACATGTTTGCCCAATAGAGCACAGTAGGTAGGAACACATGATAGGTGTGACCTTGTTTGTGTGGGTGATGAGAGGAAGAGTCCTCTCTAGTTGTGGAGGAAGCTGGTCAGACCTGCTCAGATTTTTAACTCAGATGAAAGGCTAGGCCTTTGGAAGTTGGGAAGTAGGCTGGGTTCAGACAAAGAACATTGCTCCCCTCAAAATCGTCACATAGCATTTCATTTGTCCTCCAGATACGCCTGGTAGAAACAATACTTGTGGAAAACCTGCTTAACTCCAAGGATAGAACTAGATTTTTAAAAATGTTTTATTTTCAGCATTGGGGACCGAACCCAGGACTGTAAGGACACATGCTAAGCGAGTGCCCTACCATTGAGCTACAACCTCAGCTTTCTAGGATTATTAAAATATGCATTTAGTCCCTGCTCACTAAGAAAATTGTTTTCACATGACAACCACCACATTAACAGACATTATAGGATGACTTTAAATGAGGATGATGAGGACTTATGGCATATGCTCTGATTTTTCCAAAGATGGGACCATTATAGGTTTTGTTTTTCTAAAGGAACTGTATAGTACTCCAAAGGAGATAAAGCTGAGAGATAATCAGTCAGGTTTAAGAGGAGATGGGAGATAAAATCAGTTGAGTAGGAAAGTGGGAAAAGAATTAATGGATGTGAACTTTTTTAGTGAACATATCCATACCTCAGAGTCTTCCAGGATACCCCTACCCTCCACACAGTCCTGAGAAGTATACTCCCCATGCCTAGCACGATTCTAAATGCCTTATTCAGTTACTCTATATCATAGGTACTATCATCATTTGAATTTAGAGATGACAAAACTAAATCCGAGAGTCTAGTAATTTCCCCATGATTGCATAAAGAGTTGCGGTAAGGTTTTGAGCTAGGATATTGGTTCTCCCACTTCAGATCCTGTGCATGACCCTATTTCCTACAAAGCACTGAGTGCTGTTTTGCAATTGTAGGTAAACTGTGGTCCCTTTACGTGAAGACCTGAGTCTTAAGCATCCATAGTATCTATCCACCATTAAGTGTTTAGGAAATACTTGTTTACTGTTGAGTGAATGGACTGTTCAATTGTATCATCAATTTTCCCAATGAATTGAACTCACTGAGAAAGTACATAGTCCTGCAGGGTGTTGTGTCATGGTTGAAACTAGAATCTAGTGTCTTTTCTACTGGGATTTAGTGGCCCACATTTGAGCTAAAGAGTGGCCTTGTCTGCTTCAGTGGCCCACGCTGATCTGAGCACTTCTCCTCTCATAAACAGTTGAAGAAAGACAAAGACTTGATGAGAAACTTCCAAGATGGGCTGTCCTACACTGTTTTCAAGACCATCACAGACCAGTTCCTACAGGGTGTGGATACCAGAGGGGAATCAGAAGTCAAAGCCCAGAGCTTCAAAACTGCCCTTGCAATAGATGCCATGGTCAAGCTCACAGCAATTGACAATCACCCAATGAACAGGGTTCTGGGCTTTGGAGCCAAGTACCTGAAAGAGAACTTCTCACCCTGGATCCAACAGCATGGTGGATGGGTAAGTGTATCCTATTTAAAAACATATTCTTTGCATGTTGGACGTGTCTGCCCCTCCTTGCTTTGGGGGTAGAAATGCATCCATAACATGCTACATGAATAAAGGAGTTCTCAGGGCTGCCAACCTTACAGTAGAGGTTGAGTGGTAGTATATTTCTCCTACATAAAAAAATTTAAAAAATGAAAATATATCTTGTCCGAACTTAGATGAGTTGGAATGGGATTTTTTTTTTATCTCTTTTTGAAAAAATTTTTTTAGTAAAGGGGTCACTTCTGTAAAGCAGTTCTCACAGGTTTAGGTTACTTGAGTGGCAAGCGATCTATCCCATTGATGGGAACATAGTTTTAGTGATTATGTTCATCACACATAAATATTTATTGAGCTCCTTCAGGGTATGTGAGGTATGTATGTGGGGGCAGAGACTGGTCAGATACAGCAGGAAATGAGATTCAGAGGTGTAAATGTTGACATACATGTAATTTCTCTAGGCAGTACAGGAGACCATCCCTCACACTCCCAGTTACTGACAGGGTGTGAGACTGGTCCTTACATAGAAATTCAGGGTTCATGACCGGCTGTCATTGCTGCTTTGACCCAGTCATTTTGACAGGGCCATTTTGATACAAACAATTTTAAATTACTCGGTATCAATCAAAGCAGGTATTTTCCCCATAAGCCTCAGGCTCAATCCCCTCTCTTGTATTTTATCCCCATTTCCTGCAATCTCCTCAAAAACGCCGTGTTTGAGTGGCTGCATAAGGTCAAGTGTTGTCAAAATGCACTACTCCAGAACTTAAATTCCCAAGGGCCTAGGGTGCTCCCGGGAGGACAGGCCTTTGCCCCAGGTCATCCTTAGTCCTCTTTCCACAAGAATGAGCCAGGAACCAGCAGGAGGCACGAGTTGGCTCTCCTGACCACAGTAACCTGGGGACTTCTTAACTGGCTTGGTTGCGTCTGGTATTGGGAAGAAAGTGCAGCTGATCTTGCCAGTGGCTGAAGTGCCTGCCATGGTCTTCAATGGCTGTCTACTAGTTTGTTTTCCATTTTTACACCAGGTGTGATCATCTTCAAGTGCCTGATTTGAGCATTAAATATTATAAATTTAAGCTGCTCTAACTCATCCTAAAAAAACAGCTTCCTTGATATTTTAGTTTCCCCAATCATTTCTCCAGAATGTCCTCTTCTGCCTTAAAGCTTGTCTAAGCACTCCACTGTGGCCTCCCCAACCTCTGCCTATAATACTTCATATTTGTACCATAATAATGAATAGGGATCAAACTCTCAGTGAATTATAGTTTACAAAATGTTCATTATTGGTCTTACTAGTGTATTTTCCTGTAGAAATGGTAACTATCAGTGGGTTCTCAGGCTAGCTTTCAAGTCTATTTAGCCCATCAATGTAGCCAAAATGTCATAAAAGTTCTATTTAAAAACAAACAACATAGAGGTTTTACACCAAAGTATGAATAACAAACAAAAATTTAAACACCAGTTTTTGTTGTTATTTTTTGATACTAGGGATCAGACTCACAACCTTGTACTTGCCAGTCAGGTGCTTATGTCACTGAGCTAAATCCCTGGCCTCCCTCAGTTTTGTTCTTAAAGGACACAACTATCAAGAAACTAGGAAAACAGGTGTGGAATTATAGCCTAATGGTAGAGCATGTGCTTAGCATGCCTTAGGTCCTGGGTTCAAGCCCCAGCACAAGAGGAAAAAAGAAACAGAATGAAAAAACTGTACATCATATATTTAGTAAATGATTTATATTCAGAAAATGCAGTGAAATCTTATAGTTCAACAATAAAAAGTAATTAGTTTTTTAAATGGGCAATGGTTTTGCATAGTCATTTCTCCAAAGAAGATAGGTAAATGGTCAGTCAATAAGTACATTTTAAAAAGATGTTGTCTACCTTCATTTCAATAGCAGGGCAGTTCTGGGAAAGGGAGCACCTACTATAATTATTTGGGAAGCTGAGGAAGGAGGATCACAAGTTCTAAGCTAAGCTGGGCAACTTGTTGAGACACTGGCTCAAATGAAAAATAAAAGGGACAGAGATGCAGTTTAGTGGTAGAGTGTTGTTGCTTGGTTTGATCCCCGGTACTGACCCAAAAAAAAAAAATAAAAGATACAGAACTGTAAATTAAAATCATGATGAGCTCTACGCACTAAGATGACTAAAATAAAAAAGATAATTGCTGGTAAAAATGTAGAGAAATTGAAATCCTCATCTTCATACATAGCTGGCCGGGTTGTAAAATGATGCAGTCCTTTTGGAAAACGATTTGGTAGCTCCCTAAACTATGGCACTGTTACAAAGAGCTGTGCAAGATTTTCTTGGGTTCAATACCCAGTAACCACAGTGCAGTGGGGTAAGGTGGGGAACCAGTTCCTCTTCTAGATAAATAATCCAGAAAACTAAAAACGTATTTTCACACAAAAATTTGTATATTAATATTCAGAGCAGCATTCATTATTCACAATAGCCAAGTAGAAATAACCAAATGTCTGTCAACTTAACAGTGGTGAATGGATAAAAAAAATGAAGTCCATTCATACCTCAACTGATTGCACCATAATAATAAAGCACTGGTACATATATGAACCTTAAAAACATGATGCTAAGTAAAGAAATCAGACAAAAAGGACATATATTATATGATTCCATTTATAAGAAATGCCCAGGATGGGCAAATTCAGAGAAACAGAGTAGATTAGTGGTTGTCAGGGGCTAGAGAATGAAGGTCTGTTTAATAGATGCAAAATTTTATTTTGGAGGGATGAAATGTTCCAGGATCAAACTCACGACTGCACACTTGCAAGGCAGGCGCTTATGCCACTGAGCTAAATCCCCAGCCTGGGATGAAATGTTCTAAAATCAGATGTGAGAGTTCTACGATTATGAATATTAGCAGGGAAAGTTTATGATATAATTAAGCTTCAGTATATAAAGATAATGATTCCATTTCTAGTTACTAAATAAAGGGGACAAAAGAAAATGAATCCAAACATTTTAATTATTTTAATTTGGTTGGTGCTATAGAGAATACCAGATCCACTTAAGAGAAAACAGATGAATTCTTTAGGAGATATATGAAGGGCATTTTTCAAAGGCATTAGAAATTGATGGTACTAGTTCTTTATCCTCTATAATTTCAATCCAAACTGCATCAGTTACCTAGGATATCATAAACCTGAATCTTAACGCTTAACCACTGTAAGTAGAAACTGAGAGAAGGGGGCTGGAGATTTAGCTCAGCGGCATAAGCGCCTGCCTTGTAAGCAGGCAGTTGTGAGTTTAATCCCTGGTACTGATAAAAAGGAAAAAGACAAAAAAAAAAAAAAAAAAAAAGAAACTGAGAGAAGAAAAAACTATGTGAGAAGGACTAATTTTTTAAAAATGATAGGACAGGAAAGGAGGAAGTTTCACTGGCCCCTTGGTCTATCTTGGGTTCTGTGTGGTGTCTTTATAGCAGTGTGGGAAGAGGGAAAACTTCCTGAATGGAAGTCTATCAGAAACTCAGCATCCCTGACTATCTCAGGGATCCACATTTTCCAGGAGTACATGTAACCCTCTCAAGTACAAATAAATCTATGAGGGCAGGACCATGTGTCTTATGCCTCCTGTTATCTACCATATCTCCCATCACTTTGTATACATCCCAGATGTTAGGCTAATATTTGTGAAATAGTGAATGAATCAAATGAACAGAGAGCCACTCTGTCTCCAGAGCATGCTCATATAGGTACTGTGAGGTTTTGATTTGCTCGTAGGCTTTTTCTTCTCACAGAGCAGCACAGTTCCCATAGCTGCCCAGCAGTCCTGCAACCTCACCCTTCTACAGCGCTCTAAAAGGACTGGTTTACAACCTCCACACAGTCATCAACCTGTCAGAACCTACTTTTTAAAATTTTGAATACAGCCTCAAAGCCTTCCTTCTCATTTTCAAGAAAAGATCCAGCCTGTTAGTCCTGGATGTGCAACATAAGGCTTTCCTTACAGGAATGTTACATAATGTTTTCCTTACAGGCATACCCAGGATGCCAGGTACCTTTCCAAACCCTCCCCTAGCCCCAGTGCATGCTCCGAGCCTCAGGTCATGCCTGGGATAAGAGCAGAGTTAACAGACATATGTTTTCACTTCAACAGTAAATCCAACTTGGAATTTTAAGAATGTATTTCTCTTCTCCCCCTCTAGGAAAAAATACTCGGGATATCACATGAAGAAGTAGACTGAAATATCATCTGGAATACTCATTGTCGTGTGGTGATTCTGTGTACGTGGATCTCAGCACAGACTGGGAGAGAAAATTCAGAGGCGAAAGGCAAATGAAGGTCTGTGACTCAAGAGGCATCAGAAGAATCTTGCTCTTCTCCAGCTCAGGGGACATAGTAGCACTGCTTTTCACACTGATGTTTTCAGGTCCTCTGCTGAGCGTGTGAAGAAGTCTATGATGATTAGTGGTAATTTTGTTTTCCAATGGAAACCATCCGCCTGCCTCTATTAACTACATTAGAGGAGGTATATTACCGATGGCTGTTGACCTCATGAGAGTGAAATGATAAATTGAGCCTGTGTTTATTGTTTTAGTCTCTAGGACTATTTGTTTTTAAAATACACTTTGGATGGTCTAATAATGACATTATTTCCAGCCTACCCTTAGAAATATATTGCTATTCATGTCAGTTAACACAGCCTAAAGAAACTCTGAAATTTATTGCTACATCCACTAGTTTGGAAAGTTACAGTTGTATCTTCTTGACCCATTTCTTTGTTCACAGTTTGAAAAATTTCCATTTGGTACAAAACCACAACTCCTATCACCTTCATTTTTGTCCTGGATGACTCACCTTTGCAAGTTCTCTGTGACTTCCTTTATTGTTCTTTGTGGTGGTGTAATGATGGGTATCTAGTACAATAAATACATTGAAGCACTCCTGTTAAGATGGTGGTATTCTGATTAAAATGAATAGTAAGTAATAGTACTGAGGTTTCTTTGGGGATTGATTAATTTGCATAAAGTACTTAGAACAGCTCTTGGTATTTAGTGTTAAGTGATTGCTTGTGTGACCTTGTATGTGCTGCCCTAAGCTAAAAAATTTCTCTTGAAATAGTCATTGATTGTTTTTGACAAGGATATTGTTCAGAATGAGGTTTTAGTAAATAAAATAGGTTTTATAGTATTTAAGAAATACATTTAAAAATACTAACAAATTATAGACTCACACATTTCTGGATTTCTAGCATCCAACAGGTAGCCCAACATAGAATAGATACTTAATGAATCTCTGATGAATAAATAAGTCAATCACACATATTTTCAGGCTAAAGGGAAACTTGCATCTATCATAAAATGTTCCACTGGCCTACCTATCACAATGCATTATTTTTTCCCCCCACAAGAAAATCATAAATGTTAGAAAACATCTGTTTACAGATGGAGAAACTGAAGACACTCCCCCACCAGGTTGATCGAACCATTCCAAATCATTTGCAATTCCCAAATGTATTCTTCCTACTTGGAATGTTCTTGCCTGTCAGCCTTCTTTTCCCCTATTCCCTTAATCCAAATAACTCCAGCCCATCTTTCTAAATTTACTCCTTCATTTCCACCATGAATCATTTACTAACTTTCCCTTGGCCATCATGGGGCTATATTTGGATGCATTTCCTTGTAAGGATGTTCCAAAACACCCTGTATATAAGCACTATACCTAATGCATTGTACCATAAAAACTGATTAACTTAGTTTTTCCTAGTGCTTTGTAAGCTTTTTTGTAGGCAAGTATTGTATCTAGTTTAACTTTGTATCTCTAATGCCAGGTGTATTTCTGACATATAACTGCAGAGCCATACCTTATCCTCACTGCAATAGCTTGTAAATCAGTGTGACTGGAGTATGGCTCAAGATGCATGTGGTAAAAACAAGCTCTCCAAGTGCTTCCAAAATCATCTGCAGTTTCTAGTCAAGATGGAGTGCCAGTAACTGGATTTAATATCCTTGAAACAACTAAATATCATACTAAAGAAATGAAACAATTTTCAAGCATTCAATATGATGAAGAACTGGTCCAGTACGAATTGGAAAAGAAGTGGTCCATGATTGCTCTAGAGTATTGCATGTGCAGAATTTCCATGCCTGCTGGAGAGTGGGGACCTACACATGGCTCAGCTGTCTCCCTCAGTAGAGCAGATGAAACTGATGGTCCAGGAAAGCCACAGCAACCACCATAAGCAGGAATAATAGAAAACAGTAGTAGATGAAGCTCTACAGATCTGTGAACAACCCCTCAGGTCTTCAGATGTGTACTGATAACAAATGCATATGATGAAATAAAACAAAGTTTGGGGAAAACCATGTGAGAATATTACAAGGAACATTCTCCAGGGATTACACAAGCCAGCAGTAATGCCTATTTCAGTAATAGTTGAAAATTCAAAACAATTTCTCCTTAGAAATGGGGAAAAAATTAGTTTATAGTTTTCTGGTCCTGCTCAGCAGAGATTAATACCCCAAAATGAAAGCACTAATTTTATCAAGTAATTCAGTTTTGCTCCAGAAGAAACTCAAGTTTTTAGTGATTTTTAAAATATCCAATACCCAACTTTTGTCCAACATACCAAAAAAGTATGGCATACAATCAAAAATTATAAGGCATGCAAAGAAGCAGGAAAGTATAACCCTGTGATAAGGAAAATAAATCATGCAAATCAGTCTAGTAGTGACACAGTTGATAGAATTATTACAGAAGGACACTAAAACTGTTAACAATTATATATGTTCAATAAGTCAGAGAAATAACGGAACATGTGGAGCATACATATAATTTATTTGAGATGACAATATAGTGGGTTATATTAACAGAAGTTTAGACATTGTAGAAGAACAGATAGGTAAACCTGAAGTCACAACAACAGATCCAAAACACAAAACACGTCAAAAAAACTAATGGCCTAATGTATTTGTAAATGGTATAAAGATTTTCCAGATTTGATGAAGTCTACAGAATCAAGAAAAATCATGACTGGCAAGTACATGAAAAAACCAAAAAGAAAAAAAAAAAGTAGAAAACTGCACCAAAGCACACCATAAATTGCTTAAAACCACTAACAGGAAAAAAAAAAAAAAAACCCTACCAAACAACTCCTTAATCAGCAAAAATGGATACTACACAGAAAAAAAAAAATTAAAAATGACACTAAGCTTGTTGGGAAACTATGACTCTCAAATATTAACACTGAAACATAATCCTGCACCCCTCCCCCAAGAAAAAGACTTTAAAATGAAGGTGGAATACGATTGTTTAGATGTAGAAAACTTAAAATAACTACTAACTGGGGCTGGGGATTTATTTCAGCGGCATAAGCGCCTGCCTTGCAAGCAGGCAGTCGTGAGTTCGATCCCCGGTACCGATAAAAAGGAAAAAGACAAAAAAAAAAAAAAAAAAAGAAAGAAAGAAAGACAAAAAAAGAAAATAACTACTAACTAGCATTCTTAGGCTACAATAAATATTAAAGGCAGAAGCCAAATTATACTGAACAGAAATCTGTATCTATAGACAAAACAGAAATCTCTGGGTGAGTAAATATAAAAGATTCCTTTTCTTCTTATTTAAAAAAAATACACTTTATTTTTTGTGGTACTGGGAATTGAATACAGGCCCTTTTCCTATTAAGCTGTATGCTAGTCCTTAAAATATATATATTTTTTAAAAATTTAAGACAGTCTCAGTTGCTAAGTTACCCCAGCTAGTTTTGAAATTGTGATCCTCCAGTCTCAGCCTCCCAGAGTGCTGGGAGTAAAGGCATGTGTTGTCATACCCAGAATGAGGTAGTAGTTAAAGGAAAAATAACAATTTGTGGTGGGATTTATAACATACATATAAAAAATGTACATCCTTAATAGTACAGAGGATAAACTTGGAAGTAGCCTGTATGTCTCTCAACAGGTAAAAAGCTGAAGAAAATGTGGTATTTATACCCAATAGAGTACATGTATCTTAGCTCCTTTACTCCTTGCTGAGACAAAATACCTGACACCCAAAGTTAAAGGGAGACAGGTTTAACCAGAATTTTTAGAGGTTTCAGTCCATAATCAGCTGGCACCAAGGCAGGGTGCACACAGCAGAAGGCAACAGTTCATAGCAGCAGAAGACAGCAAAAGCAAGTGAGAGGAGGGACAAGCCTGTTTCTGTCCCTTATATCATATGGAGGCTATCTGCCCTAGGGTGGGTATAGCACTCACACACACCCTTAATCCCAGACTGGACCATGAATCACAAATTCAAGATTCAGCCATCCATGAAAAGCCACCCCTCATAAAGTGGATGAGGCTTGGGGGGACACCCAGACACAAACCATAACAAGGATGACTTTTTCTCTACTCCTCCTCAGTTTGTGGCTGAGGCACCTGTACCAAAACAGGTATGAGGAAACCATCCAAATGTATAACTTTCACATAACATAGCAATCTTTGTAAAGAAAATGAAGACCCAAAGAAATAACTATTAGTACTTTATGAAAGTTTTGACAAAGAGTGCAAAATTTGACAGGGTAAAAAGGGTATGACCTAATGTTATAAACTGGGAGAACTTACCAAAACCAGCTATTCTACAGTTTCCTCAATTCCTTCAGCTTATTCAGCATGGCAATGTGCCATATTTTGGGGATAATGAGCTCCATCAAAGAAGGCATAAGTTATCAATGTCAGAAATGACATTAAAATGATGTGACAGTTAATGTCAAAAACCAATAACATAGATAAAATGAATAAATTCCTTGAAAAACAATTACTGATAGCAGAAACTTGGCATGGTGAAGCGTCTGTAATGCCACTCTGAGAAGCTGAGGCAGGAAAACCATGGCTCTTCTGGGCAACATAGCATCTTAGTGAGGCTCTGTCTCAAAGGACTGGAGAAGTAGTTCAGCAGGCCCTGGGTTCAATCCAAAGGAAGGAAGGAAGGAAGGAAAAAAGGAAGAAAGGAAGGAAGGAAGGAAGGAAGGAAGGAAGGAAGGAAGGAAGGAGGAAGGCAGGCAAAGAGAAAGAAAAAAAGGAAAAGAGAATGGGAAAGAAGGCTCACTTCAGCAGCACACACGGTAAAACTGGAAAGAGAAAAAATGGATTATATGAATAGATCTAATCATTAGAAAAACCCTAATTGTTTAAAAAAAAATCTTTCAATTGCACATCTCTGCAGTCAAGAATCTAACACTGCATAGAACTTGGGGCTCTAATCCTCTCATGGACCCCCACAGGAAAAAAACTGTATAATCACTAGGCAAAACATGGAACTTTAAGGCTACACAATTGAGTGAAGGTAGTGAGAGAACCTTTGGAAGGTGATCAGAAGTCAGACCCTCTCAAGGTAATCACTTCTGTCTGCCCACACGGCTTGTGATGTAACACAGAGACCAGGTGTCCCCTTGTTGAGGAAGAAATTCCTTGGGGAAGGCGAGCAAAGATCCACAGGAAAGTAAGAATTGAACAGGCATCTGCATGGAATAGGGCACTGGAGTTGGGACTCCAGCAAACCCTACTTTGTAGTGCTATGCATTGCCTTGAACGTGTTATGTGTAAGCACCTCTCTGAAACATAGACCTCTACAATAGAGACTAATACAGAAAAAAAAAGCTATATATATATATGTATGTATACGTATTGCCAGACATGCCTTGAAAGCTATTCAACATATGACAGTAGAATCCCAACTATTCCCTCTTATTCCCTCTGCCCACTACTACCAACATGTTTCTGATCAAAATCTTGCACTGAAGAGTGGATAAAAGAAAATTAAGAAATGTCATGTATATGTACCAATTCCCCAGGGTGAATGTAATCATTATATACTACAGACATGTGCCAATAAAAAAATGAAAATCAGCTGCCTGGAAAAAAGTGTGTATTGGAGATTTTCATGCTTAAATCAGGTATCTCCTATCAGGTTTGGTCATTAACTACTTGGGCGAGGGACAATGAGACACAGGCCACTGTCTGGTATGAAACATGCAGGCCAAATATTAATAAAATTATACTTTAGCTTCTTTATTGGGGAAGATTTTCTATAAAATCTGAATTTGCAAATATAAGTCCCAAGTACAAATTTTCCATAAAGGAGGAAAAGATGATACAGATTGCATAATGGTGTAAATGATGGAACCAGAGATTTGAGTGCAATAATTCATTTGAATTAAATTTACAGAAGGCCAACCATTTTTAAGACACAGATTTAACGTAAGGAGGACTGTGTAAACTTCCCTGAAAACCTATTTGGGGAAAGAAAGCACCAAAACAAGTCATAAGCTTCCCACTCCTCCACCCTTTTCCTGTGGCATTACAGTAGGACCTATGGCTTTCACACAGGCAAGTACTCTCAACTGCTGAGCTACATTATCAGCCCCTCGTGTTGTATTGAGACAGTCTTGCTAAGTTGCTCATATTGGTCTGGAACTTGAGATCCTCCCGTCTTGGCCTCCTGAGCAGTGGGGACTACTGCATGCCCAGCACCATTCTTGAGACTACCTTTAATTCAGGCAAATTATAGCTTTGCCATTCCTTTCTTTGATTTAACCATGAATGGCCCGGCCTATATGATTTTCCTTCCAAGGGAAAGAATGGGTAAGATGTGCAAGGATTAAGGTAAGCTTACTTAAAAGCACCTGCTAAGGACGTCATATTAGAATTTGAGTTCTACTACTGCATAAAACAGTTTTCCTTCCTTCTTAGATCAGTATACTCAGATGAAGGCTGGAGGCTGGGAATTCAGATACTCAAAGGTTTTACTACAACTACGGTCATGGAAGAAGCCATTAACACACTAAACTGGGCCCCATAGCAGAAGAGCGAGGTTCATTTTGTAAACTAATTTAGCAGACAGGAAGGGAGTGTTAATGTCCACATCAGGACTCTCACATCACTGAAAATAAGAGCAGCCTGTTTTCTTATCCTCTGTTCTCAGTCACAGGTACCCTTGACAAGGAACTAGGCCATAGCCCTGCCTTTCCACAGTCTCTCTTCTAGGGCAGTATTTACTTGAAACATAAAGTTTCTACACGACAACCTTTATATCACAGCGAAGCACAAACATATAGCATTTTAACTTCTTGCTGAAAGGAATTGACACTTTTATTTTTCCACTGTTTTATTATAAAAATCAACATTTCATTTGTTACAATTCAGCTTATTGTAATAATCAAAAAGGGGATTTATACAAGGTATTTTTATACAGTTATAATTAAAGCACTTATTTTACAAAAGGGGGAAGTGGACAAGGGCTGACCAAATGTTGGCCATTATAATATAAATACATCCTTGCAAAGCACCATCGTACCAAAGTCGATGAACAAGAAACACCAGTTGACTTTTAAGACAATGACGAAGATTAAAGCTTAAGAAAAAGTTTTAAAACACAAAAGATAAAACATCTGAAAGCAGCACCAGATCCTTCACTTGCAAGTAAGGCTAGTTCAGTTTAAGCTTCATGATATCCTCTTTCCTCTTGAATTCTCAATAACCCAGACACTTAACTTCCTAATACTGGGTGGAATCATTTTCTTACTTTATATTCCTTTTAATATTCATATTTAATCACTGATACAGATATTCTAAGATCTCCATTACCTCAATATACTGAATTAAAAAACAAAACAACCCAAATGGATAGTTAAGCAGAAGTATGTTGTCTATGATTCTTTGGTGTTAATTTCGGGTAAATTAAAAAACAAAACAACCCAAATGGATAGTTAAGCAAAAGTATGTTGTCTATAATTCTTTGGTGTTAATTTCTGTGAAAATCATAGGTGATCATTATCTGGCTAGATAAGTCTATATTTCACTTCTGAGGATAAAAAATCAAGTTTATAATTCTATCAAGTCCTGAAGGTATTTTTCAATAATAAAACTAAGAATGATTTAAAAATTTCTGATGGAAGAGAAAATGGTATATTTTACCTCAATAAAAGAAAGTAAGGGTACAGTCAGCAATTTGATTCTAAGTCACTAAGATAAATCTACAAACCTTATATCTCCCTTTCCACTCTAGTAAGATACGCAATCAAATCAAAGAGAAATACCCTGAGGATATGTATTCACAATGCCCATTTAAATTTTTACAAAATTATAAATGTAAAATTTTTATGTTGAAGTTCAAAGTTCTTCACTGTAAAACTCGTGAATTGAAAATGTTAGTTTTTGAGACAAAACACTAATGCTAACTCAGGAGTCAACGAACTAATAGTGCTTTCTGAAAATCATTGTATTTTCCTTGGTCTATTTTAGACTTGAGATAAGGAAAGAATACCAAGTAAATTTTTTTGAGTTTAACAAATTACAGGCATATGCCTGTAATCCTAGCACTCTAGGACGCTGAGGCAGGAGGATCACAAGTCTGAGCAACTCATTTAATTAGGAAGACCCGATCTCAAAACTAAAAAAAAGATCTGTAAGAGCCTTGGACTCATTCCTAAGAACCTTAAAACAAAAAATCTGACAGTATGTTTAAAAACTTGATTTAAACTTCTTCAGGACTCAGTCCATGTCCATGCTTAATACACTGCCACAGTCTCATATGTGGAGTCCAGTTATTAGCTGACCAACTAATATTTTAGATGCCCATATACAATACTTCACAAACCGTGGATGCCGTATACATGTAGATGTAAGAATGGCAAACTCATGACATATTTGGGAGTGTGAAAAGTCCCAAATTTTTGTTTCTGAATCTTGTAAAGTTTCCCACGAAGTAAAATTAAACAAACAAACAAAAGCCCCTACATTTCTAACATTCTGATCTAAGCAGCCCACCTGCCACAAACAAGCTACAGCAAACCTCTCATCTCTACTATGACTGTTCAATTCAGGTCACGTAACATTTCACTAACAGCGTAGGTAAGTTGTAGTTATTGATTCTACTTGAAATAGTCTCCATTAATGAGACTAGAGAAAAAGTATTTCCCCAAAATGAACTGCTACCTAACATTGACGTTATTTTTACAGCTTAAACACTGAATGAGTTGCCCTTATACAAAGTATCGACTGCAGGATTATTTTAAAATGCATAAAACCCTTAATTACCTAAAATTTTACTGCTCAAACAACCTTCCTAGCCAGGTGTAGTGGTATATACCATAATCCTAACACTCAGGAAACTGAGGCAAGAGAATTCCAAGTTTGAGGACATGGGCTACATAATGAGTTTAAGATCAACTTGATCTATATAAAGAGGCTCTGTCTCAAAAACAAAAACAAAACAAAGAAAAAAAAATAAAACCAGTAACAACCTAAACAAAAAATCCTTCCCCAGTTTATTGGCCTACATTAGATGAAGATGTACTTTAATTGAAGCCTTCATTTCTAAATAACTTACTGTCCATTTTCTCAAACTTGCTAAAGGATCAAGTTGTCTTTTGGTAGAGTATCACAAAGTGTTCTGACATTAGAATGGAAAGAACTACACTTTTCAGCTAAACAGATATCTTTAATATGTAGTATAGAAGAATTATAGCAAGTGCCAGAGGCATAATAAAATTTCATGGAAGAAAAATTAATACTCGTGTGAATGTGCCATTATGTGACAACATGTTTCTGCCAGCTTAACCACCAGCAGGAATGCACCATGTTCAAATCAGAGTTGCCAGGCAACAAGACATGAATTATACTCTCCGAACCAACAGGCAGCAAACCCTTGGGCTACGGGCAGCCAGGTTGAGAACCTTGGTTATAGAAGACCAATAAAGAGCTTGCTGCAGTGCAAGTGGTATCAAAGTTCATTTCCCAGATAAGATTTTAGTATCAGTAAGTATGCATAACTGAAGATGTTAAAAATATCTTGAATTTAAAGATGGGCAGATTACTGGGAACCGAACTCAGGACTTCGTGCTTTCCAGGCAGGCACTGTGCCACTGAGCTAAATCTCCAGCCCTGAATTTAAAGATTGAATTAACTTATATTCATTTCTAATGTTGAATAGTGAATTTTATGATACACCAAGCTTATCACCTTTTTTGCATTTTTTTCCCATACTTGTGTTCTCATGTTCATTTTTTCCAATTAAAGCTCTTATGTTTAGTAATCAAGATGTATTTTACTTAAGCTTAACTATCCATATAACCTGAAGATCATTCACTTCTCCAAATATGACAATCTTCTCACTAAAAGTACTCAGGAATATCAAGAATCCATCTCAATGATCCTAGAAAGAGGATACTGAGATTAAGCTGCACTACCTTCAAATAATTTCAAAACAAATTGGCACACAAATTAGTATTTTGCAAGAAGAGGCCATTGCCTTCGCAGTACAAGCACTTGGACTGAGATAAAACAAGGCAATATTCTTCTTAATTCATTATAGTGCAAGTTTCCACATGGGAAGCCCACCAGGTAAAGATGTACATTAAACATGTAAACATAGAATTCTCGAACTCTGATACCCAGTTATTGCTAACCTTCCCATCTTCGAAACATCCAGTGCCCATGTGTCACAGATCAGAAGTTCAATGTCCACTTTGTCTCAGACTGTGAAGCACTTTGTTCCAGCAACAGGAAGAGGCAAAACTTGTCTGACTGAGATAAAAGACACTGATGGTTCACCATTTGTATATATGCAAAATCAAGTGCACCTGGTTCTTAAATTGCCTCCAACATTCTGAGCATTAGCCTGAAACCAATTTTTTTCCCTCTTTTAAGTATGTTACTTACATATTTTTTAGTTGCGTGAAAGGTTACTTTGCCCCTGCCAAAATTCTGAATCTTTTTTTCTGTTGACATTTTTAGGGGAGCTCTTGATTACCAGAGAGGTCACACCAATACAAACAACAGAGACAGAGACAGACACAGAAGAACAAGAACTCACCAGTATCTACACTAGTTTAAAAAACATTCAATTTTAGCAGAGCAGTGCTAGAAACATGTGAAAAGCAGGAAGCTAACTTCTGGCAAGGTGGCAGAGCAGTGCTAGAATCATTCCACAGGTCAGCCCTGATAGCTGAAGATGTAGCAGCCCCAGTACCATACATGACAGCAGGTCAGGCAGGTTACACAAGAGACTTTTTCTGTTATTCCCCTCCACCCAAGTTCTAACAGTTTATCTTCTCATTTAATCCCCTGTTAAACTTCTTAAATTATCTTAATCCATAATGGGATAAGAGAGAGAACACACATAAAAATACATGAGGATACTATAAAAAATAATTTGTGGATAATTTGAAAACAACCTAACATTCACAGTGGGTAACAGGAAGATATCAAATTCATGTCACATGTTAGAAGAGGTATGTATGTAGACATCATTCTGAGAAAACCTGGTCTAAAGAACATGAAAATGTCACAAACAGTTAATATAGGAAAAGCTAATGGTAACACACACAAACACACACACTTTTTAAATAGATTTTCTCTAATCAGAACATATTAAATGTTTTACTCAAAAAAAATATATATATATAAATGATTTCATATTGTGATATTATATGCTGAAAGTACTGCAAGGATATATGATCTACGACAAAAACATAATGATTAGACTTGTAATTCTTAAACATTGTCTATATGTGTTGCTAAAAAGACATTTTACTGAGGACTAAAAAATCTTGGAAGTGGAGGGGACTAATAATATGGCTAACTTTTTTTTTTAAAGCAACAACAGTAGTCAAATTGAAGACCTAAGCCTGATGGGGAATGGAGCTAGTAAAATATGAGACGCCCCAAATTCCTAAAATTCCATTTGATCAATTGTTCAGATAAAAAGCTTGAATAAATCATGGTCTTGGGGCAAAAAAGGCCTAAAGAGTGGCATGGCGAGGCAGCAGTGTGGAGACATCTAGAAAAACCTTTCTTTTTGACACAGTTGTAGGCTTTAAGGTAGGGACAAAAGACATGCACACGATCCCTACGGTATCTCACAGACAGCAGAGCTCTCCTAAGACAGCAATGCCCAGAATGAAGTTTTGTAGATCCAAATGATTGGATCTCTAGAAAAAACAAAGCCCTTTGTCCAAGATTATTATTTCCTTTTATGATTTCTTAACTTGGCTCTCAAATGTTAGTTAATGTGAAGGCTATTTGGCTACTTCCAAGTATCTATGGTTTGCTGCTCTGGGATACACTTAATATTTTTTGTCTGTTTCTTTTCTGAAATTTTTTGGTATCGATAAAGCCCAGACATCCCTGGTCGGTGATGCCTTTATCATTCCTGTTTCCTTTGCTACTCAGTCACTTCACTGGGTTTAAGGCATGCTTTGTGTATTCAGTTTGCAAAAATAAAACTTTTAGTACAAATTTATTTTTTATACAAACTTTTATGGCACAAGCAGCAAATCTGCTGTTTTAAGAAAATATATAAATAACCTTTTCTTCTGTACAAATATCTCCAGTATTCCCTACCCCATTTTATAACTTTATCTGTACATGGTCTGCCTCATCTCTCTCTAATAGTTCCCTCCCCCCCTCCAGATCTCAAGTAAATGTGTATTTACATTCTTCACGGCAGAGGCAGTCAGAGGAGGAGGGCCCCTCCTCAGGAGGAGTCTGTGCAGGGCGAGGGTGGTGGTGGGTAGAGGTGATGGGAATAGCTCCTCTCCGTGTATGGTGAAGGGGGGCAGCTTTCATAGTTCTCCTCCGCCGACAAGTACTGGCTTCGGGGTGTGGGAGGTGGGGGCACAGGTTCTGAGTCATAGTTCAAGTCACTAGTGTAGCCTTTGGCAGTTGCCACCGAGGTCATTCTCCGGCTAGGAGCATAGTCACTGTCACAAACATCTGTGCTGCAGGGTGTGGTAGGGGGTGCAAAGTGTCGGTAGCTGTATGGCCTGTAACTGATACAGTGGGAAAATAAAAGAGAAACTGTTAATTTTATAGAAAAATAACTCTCCTTATGAGACTTCAGAGATTCTAGATGTAAACTTCACTTTGATAACTCTGAGCTAATGCATTTTAAATCTGCCCAGGTCAAGAGGCACTTTTCAATGGCTGAAGAGGACAACATGTATTCTTACATTTGCAAATGCAGAGAGACAAGTAAAATTGGAAACAATGGACAACAGGTCAATCAACCTAGCCTGTGGATGTGCTCCAATATCTTCAAGTTGAACTGCATCACTGAATTAAACAGGACTATTCAAAGCTGTTCTTGGCCTGCAGTTGTAACTAACTGATTAACCATGAGCATGTTTGAGGCCCTGGGTTTGATGCCCAGCACCATATTAAAAAAAAAAAAAAAAGTTCTATTTCACAATCATCTTTAGAAAACCTCTCCATTTTGTACTTAAGTTGACACAAAGCAACAATTTTTGCAGTTTCACAGCCTATGAGAAAAAATGAGTCTTTCACAATTTCACCTACTCAAACATGTTAGCATTCTTTAATTGCACCATCATTTACCTGACAGATAATTTAATAATAGCTAAAAACTATTTCTTCTTTTAAAAGTCAATCATTGTACTACCAAAGCTGAATTTCAGTAGATAGCCTGTGGAGCAGAACTACCCCATTACTGTTATGATCAGGAAAAGAAACTCATTTGGGGAAATAGTTTTAATTCTCTGTGTAAAAGTAGGTATAACGTCATAAGAGCAGTTTCAACTGAACATCAAAATGATAAATTTTAAATATCCATAAAGGGCCAATGGATTTTATAATAAATATTTCAGAGACCTAATATACTTCTTTTTAGCACTTTTTTTTTTTAATCGGTACCAGGGATCAAACTCAGGACTGTGCGCTTGCAAGGCAGGCGCTTATGCCGCTGAGCTAAATCCCCAGCCCCACTAATATACTTCTTATATTTGTTTGTCCTTTTAAATGACCCATAGTTGGTAAACTTGCAGCAAAACATCTGAAAGAGAATAATGTATTTGTGAAGAGATGACATAAAGTGCTGGCTTTGCTGTCTTTCCTACTTCTGTGACTTCTTACACATTTTTATTTTGAGTATGGTAAAGGTTATTTGTTTCACATTTATCCCAAAGTTTTATGCATAATCTTTGTCACCAAATTAAATGGCTGAGAATGGATAAAAGCACGAAAAACTGATAGGCTAATTCATAAAATATAGTGATACAGAGAAGCTGAGTATCCCAGGATGCAAACCATCTATTGTCACTCTGCCTGGACTCACAAGAAATGGCTGCCAGAAGATTCTAAGTTACATGACTTGCTGAGCAGCTTCTCAAAGCTTTTACTGTTAGTACTGATGTGCTGTCTTTCTCCCCCTCTCTCCCTCCCTCTTTCTCCCTCCCCCCCCCCCACTTCTGGTGGTACCAGGGCAACTACACTACTGAGCTAAATTCCCAGCCCCAGCCCCTCGTACTTCTGTTTTTAAAAGGCATATACTTCCGTTTTCATGAGGTAGGACGTGAATTAACAAAATTCTAAGTCCCAGATGAGAGAGATCTCAACAAATAAAGAGTAAACAGAAATTGAGTTTTGAGACACAGGAAATGCTTAAATAAGAATTGTTTTAAGTGTGACTTAATTTTGACTTTTTATTCAATTTGAATTAAAGTAGTTAAGCTTTTAAAATAACATCTTTTCTCTGCTTTTTAACTTTCAGCCTTTAACTTTTTTATTTGGCTTTTTAGAACATACTCTTGACAGGGACAGCAACATTACAACAAATCAGAAAAACAATCAGTTAAGAGCCATGTCAAATAGTCTTCTCTCAACTGAAATGGGAATTCTGAATAATACTCTAGTTTGCACTGTTCTTCCATGCCTGAATGAGGCTGTAGAAGGTCCCATTTGACTGAAATGCTAGGAAACACCTCATTAGGAAGATAACAAGTACTGAGGGATGCCCACAAACAGCACTCTATGTGTAAAGAATACAAAGCTATTGACTTTTACTGGCCTTTCAAATGAAGTGGAAAAGGAAGGTAGACAAAATATTAACTGACCTGTCAACATGCTCTAGTCTCACAAATAGTAGAAAGGTATCATTTCTCCTGCTGTAGCTTACGAAACACTATTTTAGTTTGTTGTGACTTATTTATTAGTTTTAGTTAGTCGTGACTTCTTCTACTCACTTACAGGAGAAATCTTTCATTCCACATCACAATAACACATGTAAGAAAGAGCTGACCTTACATTTTTCTTGAATTCTGCACTTCTGCATTTCTCAAATTCTGCACTCTTAATATACCCTGCTGGATGAAGCTCTCCAACTCTCTGAACCAGTCCTAACCCAATATTCCATTCTTTTTTTGAGGGGGAGGGGAGCACTGGAGATTGAATCTGGGGGCACTCTACAAATGAGCTACACTCCCAGCCTTTTTTATTTTTTGAGATAGGGTCTTACAGAATTGCTTAGGCTAGCTTTGTACCTGAAATCATCTTGCTTCAGTCTCCTGAGTAGATGAGATTACAAACATGTACCACCATGGTCTTAATATTCTATTCTTACAATATATCAATCTTACTTAACAAGAGCAGCAATATATTTAGAATCAGTCACTTTGGTGGGTAAACTTTCATCAGGCCACTGCCAAAAGCCAGGCATGGTGGTGCATGCCTGTAATTCCAGCACTCGGGAGGCTGAGGCAGGAGGATTGCCATGAGTTTCAAAGCCGGTCTGGACTACATAGCAAAACTGTCTCAAACAACATTATGGTAGTTGCTGTTGATCTGTTGTCTTGCTTTGAAATCCTGTGTCACTTGCATTGTTTTCTTCTGATCTGCTGTGTTGTTTTACTAAAAAAAAGGCTCCCATGATAGAGAAAACAACACTGTCTCAAACAAACAAACCAAAAAAACCACTGACAAATTCTAGACTCTATTTCACTACTCTTGTTTTTTGAGACTGAGTCTTACTGTGTGGTTCAGGCTGACTTGAACTCACTATATAGGCCTCAAACTTGTAATCTTTCTACCTCAGCCTCCTGAGCTGTGGCTATTAAAAAATGAAAGTAAAATGCCCTGAAAGAAAAAATGTCAGAGGGGCAATGTTAGCATTACTAATAAGCTCTTGCTGGTGAACATCAACTTCTCATTTGGGACTTCATTAAGGCCACAAGTGGAGTCTTTCCCTTTGATTGCTCCCTCATACTAGAGGTCAAACCCATGATCTCATGTCTGGTAAGCAAACACTCTTATCACAAGCCACACCCCAACCCATTTTATTTTTTGAGGCAGGGTCTTACTAAACTGCCTAGCCTTGAACCTGCTATCCTCCTGCCTCAGCCCCTGAATGTAGCTAAGATTATCGGTATATACCACCTCGCCCAGCTTGCAGCTTTGTGGTAAGCATTTCCATGTCCACTAAAAGAGGAGCTGGTGTATTACCTGTATGATCTATGAGTAGAAGGACTGTTTGAAGAATAACCAAATTCCATAGTATAATGTGATCGCTCTGTGGCAGGGGATGGTGGTGGGTTCAAAATCTAAAAGAAAAAATATAATCAAAATATTAAAGTAATAATAATTGAAGCCAGAAAGAGACTTAGACATTCTTTTATTTTCTAATCTTATTGCTTTCCAGGGACTGTTAACACAATTCTTCTTTTCTGAAGAACTGACCTCAAATAGTACACTTCAGAACTTTGGCTCTCCCTTCCCTAAAATAATTTCATTATGGCTTTGCAGCATGTTATGGTTTAAAAACTGGTGGTCAACTTAACACCAGCTGAATTAAATCAGCATGGTGCTGAGTATAGATGTTCCACCTGAGCAAAGTTGCCAGTAAAAATAAGAGACATGGAAAAGACAAGTGAGGCACTGTAGGTTCTCCTACATGTTGCTGTTTAAGCCTTTGGTTCTCCTAAAGGAGCTTGTCAGAAATAGCTTCCCCAGTATAAATTCAGCCATTGTCATTAGAGGAGCTTGGGACCTAGCTGGTGAGAGTGGCCAGCCACTGTCATCAGAGGAGCTTGGGACCTAGTTGGTGAGAGTGGCTTTGAGGGAGCTCTCGTCCTTACATCAAGCATCGCTTCAGAGAGGAAGATGTGTGCTGTTTTATCTCCAGGATGAACTTGTCATGCTCTTCCTCGGATGTAATGAACTGTTCTTATCATTGGAGGAGCTCAGGGCATCCGTGTCACTGAGGATGGCTATGTTATTTTTAGGGTAGCCCTGGTTCTTATTTTGAGTGTGACGTCTCAGCTCCAGTGTAGAATCCTCAACCTACCAGCACAGCTCCTTCACCCCACTGGCATAGACTTTCTAGCTTCCACCGCTGACCTTTGGGCCTTCCCAGCACGGATCCATAGAATAGACTGGGCTCTTGACCTCCAGTTGGACTCATGGGAGGCACTGTTATGGGTTCTAGATTTTCATCTGGACTCATGTGGGACATTGCTGTGGGATTCAGGCCCTTGGCTGAATATTTTGGGTCTTTAGTGTTGTGGACAGATTTCCTGCACTTTCTTGTTGTTAAACTCTGGATGACCATCATAAATAATACAAATTCTGTGTCCTGATTCTTATTTGTTCTCCTCACAACCCCTGACTACAACACAGCACAAAATGATTAAAGGAGCCTGGGATATATATAGATATATATAGCTCAGTGGCACAGAGCCTGCGTGGCATGCATAAGGTCCTGAGTTTGATTCCCAGCACTCCCCTCGCAAAAAGGAAAATGAATAAAGGAAAATCTATTACCTTCAAATCATGTGTTTAAGTTCAATAGAGCTAGGTTTTAGCTTTTTAAAATTATAAATTTTCAGAGAAAAATGACTTAATACAGGAAAAAATCTAGGTGTGTGGTTTTTTTTTTTAAGGAACTTAAATGAAGGATTTAACTGGGAAAGGAGAAAAGAGAGAAGAAGGGAAAAGATTATAGGCATATATGTATAGCTATACTGCTTTCTGTTTGTTCAACCAAAAGAGTTTGTGCTTTCACTGTTTAATCACTTTTTTATGCCTAAATCTTATAATCTGAACTACTTCTAAGATAACAATATGCAATATATTAGTGTTAATTTGCTATTTTAAAAAAATTCTATATTGTTTCTGTCATTTTTTGTTTCACTTTTAAAAAATAAAAAAATAAAGAAAAAAGAAAGTTCTAAATCTTTCAAAATGTACCACGGTTCTATTTTTACTTGGTATGTGAAAAAATGTTCTGTTCTTTCAAAGAACAGGCTGGTTATTTATACATGCAGGGTGGTGGTGGCAAATTCTTTGAGCTTTACATCCTAAATTCTGTATTAAAAAACAACTTCTTCATTACTGTCACCAAGTACCCACAATTAAATGAGATAACCTAAGATGTATTTTAATATTCATAGAAAAACAGATTGCTTACGGCAGGGAAGTAAGTGCCTTTGGTGCTTGAAGAACTGCTTGATGATGCACCCGTGACATGTGCTCGATCATAAGGGGGGCCACTGCTTCCCCCCATGATACTGAGGGAACTGATCATTGATTTACCTCGAGACATTCCTAAAACAAAGAGAATAAAAACTGAGGGTGAGTAAGATACATAAAAATAAAACTTTATTCAACACTAGGGTTATAAACACTGGTTATGGTTCATAACTAGATGTCCCCCTAAAACCTCACACGATCATAGGTGGGGCTTTGAGTGGTGACTGGATCACGAGGGCTTGATATTCATTAGTGGAGAACTCCACTTGAAGTCTGGGTCACAGGAGCTGAGTCACTGGCCATGTGGTCTGGAAAAGTCTATCTGCCTGCCACTTTCCTTGATCTCTCGCTGCTTCCCATCACCAGGCCATGAGATGTTTCTCCTGTCAGCCACCCTGCCTTGGAGTTAGCCAACTACAGACTGAAATCTCTATAAACTGAGCCAGTACAGACCTGGAGTTGTGGGTATTAGGTACTGTGTCTCAGGAGATAAAGTAATTAAGACAATACCAACAGTCACACTCAAATAGATGATTTAAAAACTTACGCCCTCTTTTTTAAATAATAATCAGAAATGGTTAATGAAGAAAGAACTTCTAGAGAATGTTCTCTAGAAGTGAATGCTTCCATTGAGAGAGGGCCTAGAACAAGGCCAAGAAGAGTTCCCACCTGCTCCCTAATGAGAAGTTTTCAACAGCCTGTACCGAGCTGAAGGAAATAGGACTGTAAAGGATGAAAGTTATAAAGCAGCATGGATTAAATAATAAAACTTGTTCAAAAGAAAACACACCTATTTTTAGGGCATAAAACAACAAATGGACAGTCTTTCTTTATCTACTAAATCCAAGTATTGCTGGAATCAAAACTACCAAAGCTAAGGAAGAAATTCTATTTTTTCCAAGTAGCTTTCCAAATTTCACTTGCTGAAAATATTTATGGCAACAAGGAATCACTGTCAGCTGAAATTTGATGTCTGTTTACTTAAAAGTGTTACTTGGCCTAAGCTCCTATTTTCAGAAGTCTTTGGAAGTAAAGCTTTTCACTAAGGGCACCAAGAAACACTGAAAATAAAGCTGTACTTTCCGAGAGCAACATGGCCTATCCAAGCACAGAACCGCTGTATACTTGGACTGTGACTAAAGCAGCTGTCCTCTGTCATCTCATTGTAAGTCAGAAGAAAACACAATAGTGTATTTTTCCCTTTTGTTACTTGGTTCCAAATTTTTGCTTCCTAAAGGGAGGTTTACCCTACCCTTAACAGCACTAGAGTTCCCTGGTTGTGAACCTAAACATTTTGTGGTTTATAGCTCTTCACAACAGACCAGCTAATTCTGCTTCAGTGTACTGTGTCTTCAAAAGCACAGTCAGGTGGCTTAGCATGAGCAGGTACGTTTGCATCATACCATTTGGCAATTTTGACTATTCTGTACCAAAGGTCTTTTGCATAGAGAGAAGGTGCTAGAAGTAGCAACATCTGATAATTTTTAAACCCAAATAATCTAGTCTGATTCAACCTTTAAGTAACATAATGTTATCTATAATGGAAATGTAGTAATTCTGCTAGAAACTGAAACTTGATGGATCATTCTTAACTCACCTGGAAGAGAACCTGACAGGGAACTTGGGTGTGGCACATAACCAAGAGGCACAGACGCTGGTCCATGAACCACATAGTCGTTGGTCATAGTTTCCCCATCTCCCTTCATGCGTGGACACAACATCCTCTGGCAGATGAAGTATATGGTTCCAGACACAAAAATGGTGACAATCACTCCAATTACTGAACCAACTGTATTGGTGGCCTGTGGTGCTGGCTCTTCAGTTGGATCTAAAATGAGAAATGCCGTATAAACTATGCTAGGTATGTAAAAATAACAATGCATTCAAAATAGCAACAAAAAAGATGTGAAGCTATAAACATAATTGTAAATATAATTTTCTTTTATGGATATATATATATATATACATACACACACACACACACACACACACACACTATGCTCCATGAAAATATGAATTAAACGTCATCATTAGGAATCAAAATGAACTATCATTGAATGACAAAAATAAAACAACATACTAGGAAGTATAACTAAACTAACAGGAACAAAAATGGTAAGTACATATTTAAATACCATCAAGAAATTTTTCATTCAATATATGGATAAAATCCACTTCATTTTTGAGTTATTTTGGGATTTCAGGATTTTAAGTCAGAAGGAACAGACCAAGAAAAGTCATCAAATATTTTGCCTGGAATGGTGAAGAAGCCAAAAAGCAGTTGGTTAGATTTCAGATTTAAACAGTCATATTTAGGCCCAGTGAAAGAAAATTAGGAACTACAGATGAGCCTGGGCTCTGAGGTTCCACATGCTGCTGCCATCAGGCTGCCTGAATACCAAGAGCAAGGAACACAGGTCTCCAATACTTAATTATCAAAAGACTTGCAAAGAAAAGGCCAGGCCACCAGAGGAGGGTGCTGCTCTGGACAACCACCATACGTGTGTCCCTAAGCTACTCAAGTCTTAAAGAAGTAGAGGGTGCATGGTATCAGAGGCAGAAGGAAAGAACAAATGGGTCAATCAAATAGAGTATTAACCTCTCTTCAGAAGGAAAATTCTTCCATTCTGACTACTTAATTTAGATCTCACAATTGGAAATCCTTTTTAAAAAGCTTCTTTTCACCTCAAATCTCCAGCTGAACTTACCTCTGAGATAGATAACAAGTAATCTAACAGAAACAAGTAAAAATGATAACACTAAGGGACATAACATATAGGGGCTATCAGTAACAAATTAGCCTGTGGAATCTCTTTAGTCTTTGCTAGTGATATTCCATCTTTTTTATTCCTTTTTAATGCTTCAGCATTCCTTTCCAATACAATGGTTTTTGAGGCAGGAAGATTGTGAATTTGAGCCCAGCCTGGACCAGACTGTAAGACCCTATCTCAAAAGAGAGCAACAACAAAAAACAAAAACCAGAAGGAAAGACAGAAGGGCAGAAAGGAAGAGGAAAAAAAAAAAAAAGAATAGCTTATATTTACTACCACCTATTTCTAGGCTCTGGGTCATATCTTAACTCACTGAATTCAGGTTTCCACCCTTACCCACTATACTGAAACTGCTCTAACAAAGTCAAGTTCTCAGAATTGCTACATTCAATAAACTTCATCTCACTGACCTCTTTACACATTCAGTGGTGCTAGCTCCTATCTTCTTCTCAAAAACACCTGTTCAAAGGCTTTCTAAAACACCAATCTTGTAGTTTTAGGCTTTTGGGTGTTTTGTTTTGAGACAGGGTCTTGTTGTGCAGTTCAGGCTGGCCTTGCACTCACCACATAATCCAGGCTAGCCTTGAACTCATGCAATTATCCTGCATTAGTTTCCCAAATGCTGGTTTTATGATTTTTGATTATTCGTTCTCTGCTTCCTTTTTGGGGCTTCATTCTCTTCTGTCAATTAATTGTAGGTTGTTTCCCTGAGTTCTACCTACCATCTACTATTTTCCTCTTCTACTTATTCTTCTGGGAGATTTCTTCTATTGTTAGGGTCTTAATTATCATCAATAAACTGAAGGGTTCCAAACCTCCCTTCTGAACTACAAATCCATAAGATCAACAACTTTCTATCAGCTATTATGGACCATTTCATGGGAATCTCTAATGTGAAATATCCTACACTGAGTTCATCATTACTGCCACCTGTTATTTCCCCCAGACTCTAGAAGTAGATCATAAATATATGAAGTATTTATGGGATCTATAGCAAACAAAGGCAAGTGAATTAAAAGTAAAAGCAAAAATAAATTAATGGAAAACATTATGTCAGCTTTTGGTCGTTGCTATATATCTTAGTAACTCTGGTAACACTAAGTGAGGTATCTGTGGGTCAACTTACCATCTGTATCTAAGCTGTTGACAAGCCCTTCTTACTCATGAAATTACTCTGAACCTATTCCTTCTTTTACCACCATCATTCCTCTTGATTTAGACCTTCATCATTTTCTGTCTAAACTTCAACAGCCTCAACACTTTTAAATTACAGACCAAAAGTCATTCGTAGATAATGAAAACAATTTAGAAGGTTACAAACAGTATTTTTAAAATATTAAATAGAAAACACAGTCTGTATTTCTCCTGATATAGTCCAAAACAACTTGCCTAATAGATTTCCATGCCTACAACTTGCCTTGAAAACAACTTGCCAAATAGATTTCCATGCCTACAGTCTTACCACTTTCAATGCATCTGCTGAATAGCTTTTGCATTTGTGTGGTAGTCAGGCTAATCCTTTTCTTAAAACTGTCCAATGACTCCATGGTGAATGGAATAGTGCCTATGCTTTTTAGAAGAAAAGCAATGTCCTCCAAAATCTTATCTTTATGGTCTTACCATATTATTATTTCTTGTTGACACCCCTTAAGACACAGCTTATATTTTGGCAGCGATACCTACATGTGGTAGTTTCTCACTCCTTTCTGCTCTTATTTGCACAATGAACAATTTCAGTCATCAAGACTCAAGCTTAAGTAGCATTTTTCTATAAGCCTTCCTCAATCAACTCCATTTCTAAAAAGCTGGCTACTCTCCTTTGTACTACCACCTGTATAGATCTCTTAGGGAATACTTTTCCTATGTATTACTTATCACATAGTTATCAAAAGTACCTACTGTGAGCTCGACTATGCATCAGCCAGACTAAATAAGACAGACACTAAAATCAGTTAATCTTCTCACGATCACCAGGTTAAATATCATTATCTTCCATTTAACAATGAGGAAACTAGGATTTAACTAACAAATAATTTGCTGGTGATGGAAAGAGCTAAGATTCAAACCAGATGTACCCGGTTCAAAAATTCCTATTCTTACTACTCTCTCAGCTAAAGAAACTCTCTTGGTGTAGGTACCATGTATCCTCAGCAGAGTATCAAGCACAACACAATAAATGTTTGTTGAATGAACAATCTAAAAACTTAAAAGTATCCCACTCGAAGTTTTCTAAGTTCCATCACAATGGTTTTGACAGGGTAAATCTGGCTTATGTTGAATTTCATTCAGAATTAATTACAGTACACTATGGCATATCAACTTTAGATATATTTTAGAGTGTCGGTCAATAATTATGAACCTTTCAGAAACTACAAGAGTCTGTATGTCTCCAGGTATATATATATATATGAGCCTAAGCAACCTCAGGCTGCATTTTAAGAAAGCTTTTACACTCATCTGGCCATTGAGAAACTTGTGGAAACAATTTAATGAAACATTGGAGAAGTTAAATTCGGTCTAATGTTCAGAAACAAAGTTCAAACCAAATGATTTTCATGCCCATCTAAATTATTTGAGAATTTCAGTTGTGGCACAACGTTTACTCTTTTCTGGCACTTTATTAAATATATTTTTATGCATAAGAAAACTACATGCTTTAAGAAATTATTAACAGCAAACCATTAAAAGATAATCCTTGGCACAAAAAGTTTACTATTAACACTTTTTAAGTTTTGTTTTTAAAGTGAAACAGAAAAAAAGGATAGAACCAGTACAGAACTTCAAAAAATAGTAGGAAATTAACACTAATATATTGCATATTGTTATCTCAGAAGTAGTTGTTCAGGTTACAAGATTTAGGCACAAAAAAATGATCAATCAAACAATGACAACACAAACTGTTCTTTTGGATGAACTAAAAGAGATTAGTAGTACGGCTATCTATCTTGTGTATGTGTGTACGTGTGTGTGTGTGTGTGTGTGTGTGTGTGTGTACGTATACCTATATATATAAAATTTTTCCCTTTTTCCTTCTCTTTCTCCTATCCCATTTGTTCTTTCCTTTTGCTCATTTTCTTTTCCTTTCATTATCACAATATCTAAATTGTACATTTTGGATCTGGTTACTCTTTCAGTTTTTTTCCAGAAAGAATGGCTGCCTCAAGAAATCAATTGATAACAAATGTTGGCGGGGCTGTGGGGAAAAAGGAAGGCTTCTCCACTTATGGTGGGAATGTAGACTGGTACAGACACTGTGGAAGTAAGTGTAGAGATTCCTCAAAAAATTAGGATTGGAAGTCCTATTCAATCCAGCTATTTCCCAGAAAAATGGAAAATGTCATACTATAGTGATATATATGCACCCATGCCTATAGCAGCACAATTTGTAATATCTAAATCTTGGAAATAATCCAAATGCCCATCAACCATGGAATGAATAAAAAAGATGTGGTATTTTTTTTACAATGAAATATTACTCAGCTGTAAAAAAGTATAATCTTGCAGCTTTTATAGGTAAACAGAGGCAACTTGAGACCATCTTCGTAAGTGAAATAAATCAAACTCACATTTGTAAATACTGTATTATCTCCCTAGTGCAAAAAAAAATACCATTAACACTTGTTCTTAATAAGGAAACTTCTACTATACATAAAATTTATGAAGAAAAATGTATTTTTAAAAAATTTTCCCTCAAGAGTAATTTACAAGATTTCATTTCTACTTACAACAATCCAGTTCATCAGATTTGTCACTGCAATCCACATTATGATCACATTTCTTGTGCTTTCCAATGCACTGGCCATTGGCACAGCGGAACTGATCAATTAAACAAAGCACTGGGAAAAAAATATATAGTTTTTTCATTTTAAATATTATATAAAACCAAATTCAAATGCAAAAGGTACTTTCTGAATATGAATGAAAAACACACTGAATTTTGAGATTTAACTTTAGTCACCAGGTATGTCCACCAGCAGAGGGAAAAGAAACAGTAAAAAGAGCAATCTAGCAAGAAATTTCTTACTTTGTTCTTTAAATTTCCTCTTTTACTAATTAATTGCTGTTGTTTACCTGAAATAATTCTACAGATTTTTTTTTTTTTTTTTGGTCTTTTTGAGATAGGGTCTTCCTATGCAGTTCACCTGGCCTTGAGCCCACTGTGCAGCCCAGGATGGTCTTGAACTTGCAACAATCCCCCTGCTTCAGCCTTCTGAGCGCTAGGAGTACAGGTGTGCACCACCATACTCTACTTCTATAGATCTTGTTTGTTTATATTTTGTAAGGTTAGTAAGGAAAAGAAAAGAGTAAGACATTTTAGACTACAATAAATAAACTAATTTAGGATTCATTGAAAACGAGCTATTTTTACATACTTATGACTTCCTGTTTGGGTCTTATTTCTCAATTTTCACACCTCACTGCTGTGGTTTGAGTGAGCTCTCCCAATGTTTATAAGCCGGAGGCCTGGAATTCTGTTTCATGGCACAAAGGCACCATGATCTTTTAAAAGGCGGAGGGAGCCTAGTTGATCAGTAAGGTCCTGTTCTCAGAGTGGACTGAGATAAGAGTCAAGGGACTCTTGAGTTGGCCTTCAGGAGACTATTATAACAAGAGCAGCCCGATCCCATTTTCTCATCCTGGTTTCCTATCTAGGGATGAGATCTCTTCCTGTCTTAAATCCTCCTGCCATCATGTTTTCATCTCCCACGATGCTTTTGCCATAGCCCAGAGGATGCTAGTGTCACATCCCTGAATCTCGAAAACTATGTGTAAACTTTTTTCCTTTGGGCACTAAAATATAGTGACAGAAAGATGCCTAACATGCTTATTAGTATACATAAATATCATCAAGTGAAATTAATTAAAGTAATTTGGAACATGACATTATGCTTATGATATGCTCAAATGTCACACTGAAAAATGATACCTTGTGATACTTAATTTGAAAAAAGTTTAGATACACAGGGTCTAAAGACCACAAGCTATCTGAATAACCCCAGGGGTTCACTGTGGTGATAGTAAATTTCAAAATTTCCAAGCATTCCCTATTTTTCCAAAGTCTTTACAGAGTACTTGTGAAGGTCATTAAAAATCAAGGTTCAACTGCAATGAGGTTCAACTGTAGGGTACTGGCTAAGTATGTGTTATATTCACAGCAATGCCGTAAATCAAGTTTCCATGTAGTTTATTTTTTTTTCCTTTTTTTTTTTTTTTTTTTTTTGTCTTTTTATCGGTACCGGGGATCGAACTCACGACTGCCTGCTTGGAAGGCAGGCACTTATGCCGCTGAGCTAAATCCTCAGCCCCTCCATGTAGTTTAGAAGGCCAAGAAAAATTTGAATGAAGTTATCAGAAAACCCCAACTCTACATTGAGCCGAAGTAACACACTTAATTTTTAAACAACTTGATGGAAAAGAATTATATGACTAGTCATAGAGGAATTGTGGATACCTTCACAGTTCTTCTCATCTGATTTATCCTGGCAGTTTGCATCTCCATTGCATCGGAGGGCACCATCAATACACTGCCCACTGGCACACTGGAACTGGGACTCTGAGCATACAGGACAATTGAGTTCATCACTGTGGTCTTCACATTCAGTAAAACCATCACAACGCCAAGCCACAGGGATACAGTCAATTTCCCCAGTGAAACAAGTAAACTGCTGAGGAGAACATGTTGGGGGCTCTTCAAATGAACAACGGGTAGGGAATGACAAAAGCACAACAATGGTCACACAGAAGTACGAACATTTATACCAATTAAATTCACTGTATAATTAACATATAAAATATAATTTTTAAAGCATCTCATCTAATCAGAAATTTTGTACTATCTAATTTAGGTTCACTAACCTGTAAAACTATGGCAGTTTTCTCACCTACTATAATTCAAGTATGATTATAATATCTGCATTCACACATAATCTGAGAACAGTCATTATAATCACCAGTCTCCAACTATTTTAAAGTAAGTCTAGTGCACACTCTTTTTCTGAGGTTCTAAAAAAGTGTTCTACAATCTCCCTGTGGATCCTTAAGTCCATTTTTAGGAGCTATTCACTGTTTCTGCAAAATTTCTAAGATGTCATTTGCTTCTTATATGTTCCATTTATATGAACACCACAAAAGGAATGGTGGGCAAAACTGTTAGCACCTTCGTGGACTCAGGATGACCACACTGAGTTGTACTGGCAGTTAGTGACCTCTCTATAGCCATACACTCGCAGTTTAAACAATATAGCTTCACTTAAGAAGGGTCATGATGAATCAATAAGAAATGTTAATCATATTACAATCAACTCTTGAGTATGTCTCTTCAATAGCATTTTATAAAATGGATGTATGCACAAAGCTCATGTAAACATAAACAGAATTTCTAAAGAGAAAGAGTCTCAGTGTTAAGCGGAAATCAAAATCAAACCCTATTTTCATCTGAAAGTGATAAAAACATAAACTAGTTAATTGCAGTTGGATATATGGGGAGAAATTTTTAAAAATGAACTAAGTAAGCTCGTTAATCTCAAAAAAAGAAAAAAACCACTATTATAGTAGGGCAAATTATAACATCAAAGCTGTCAACTAAAAGTTACAATTCTAGAAAACCTGAATTTAACTAAGATTGTAACTTTCAGAGATTTCTAATAAGATTTTTCTGATGAACCTGGTGATATATAAAAACTGTGATTTTTAAAATTCTATATAATAAAAAGGGTCAAAATCTGAAAATCTGGGATTTCTGAATGAAAGTCTAACATCTAATGACTAAGACAGGCTCTAGTGATCCACCTTCTCCACCTCACAGGGTAGCTGAGATTACAGACATACACCACCACACCCGCCCACATCAGTACATTTTAATATAATGGATTGGATTATGAAAAGTTAACAGATGAGGTTTCAAATTCCATGTTGAAGTCAAATTTATAGGAAACTAACACCTCTCAAGATTTGCTGTGGAATCCAAGAATATTCTATTTTCTGTTTAAGGCCAAATTTTCATCTTACACTTCAACAAAAACTACCTAAAAAGACTTACTGAAATTTAAAACTTTACCAAAGTGTAAACTGAAAAATATAACTTTTTTCACTAAAGTTATAATGTCTTAACTGTATACTATAATTAAGTTTTCTTAGCATATTTCATTTGTGAATATGTGAAAAGGGCTATTATTACTTTTGATAATTCTTAAAGTTCTTGGCCTTAATTCTGGTAATGTAAATACAAAGGTAAACTATAAAAACCTGATTGAGGCCCTCAACAATTTTTTAAAATGTAAACATATGCTCAGACTAAATATTTTGAGACTGGAGTCCAATTTTTCTATTTTATGATTAAGGAAACTTAGATTCAGACAGGCTAGACTATATCCAGGCCTCAGAGCTTTTTATAAACAAGGGATTACCAGAATAAGAGTAAGAAGGATCGTGTTCTTAAGTTTAGACCACTGCCTGTAGTGCTATATTACAAGTTCTTTAAAATTTTGACTGTTAGTGAATTTTCTTAGAAATTCTTCATTATATGATATGAACCGGAAAACCCTTGGTCTTTAAAACAGAACATCACAAATTAAAGATGAACAATACACATATGGAATATGAAGACGTCTTTTCTAAAAGCCTATTATGCATCTACTCAACTATACTAAATAGCATGTAAAATTAAAACAGGTATGATTCATGCTCTTAAAAGCTTCGACTTTGGCTAAAAATAAGGACTACTAGAAAACTACTCTTAACTACCTTTCATACAAACTGGTAACAAGTGCTATAATTAGACAGTGGAGACAACCACAGGTAGCGAGGTTTATACAGGCCATCAAGGGACTACATGCCCCTTGCAAACAGAGTAAGACTTAGGACAGGCAAGCAAGAATAGAATTACAATCCTGAACTATCACAGGAAAATCTACATAAACAAAACAAAAAAATATGTTGTAGTACTCCTCAACTCCAAACAGCCAAACAAAAATAGTAAGTTAGGAAGAAGTACAAAATGAAATGCATAGGTAAGAGGAATATAAATGAAATCATGTTTTGAAAGTCAGGTAGAGAAATACAGACTTTATATTTATCTCCATTGTAAAATCAATACTAAATTATAAAAAGACTTGCACATAAATATTCACTGCTGTTTTATTCTTGATAAAAAACTGCAATCTGAAATGTTCCTTATCTAAGAGTAATTCTGATGCTATAAATAAAATATTACCCATAATGAAAATCATACAGTGATTCACTCAATTATACTGATGCATATAAAAAATACATCATTCAAGAGAATCTTTAAAACAAGATTACATATTATGATACCACTGATAAATTGGTTCAGGAAAAGGAAAAAGTACTCATAGGGTGCTAAAGATCTAGTGATTACTTTTGACAGAGGGAAACTGGTAAGGAGCACCACTCCTCCTCTATTGAGAGTAGTTGTCCTCTTCCACCAAACTCACAGCTGCAATTTCAGAAGAGACATGCACAGAGTTATGCAGGAGGAAGAGAACACCTGCCTATTAGCCAGATCAGCTGGTTCACCCCTGGGAAACAATGGGGTGACAGACGTTCCAGCCAGATAGCTCTCACATCCATCAGAGTACTTTTCTTAGTTGCAACATTATATAACTTGATTTGGGTGTTTGTTAACACTGTTTTCCACACTCAATGAATATCCATTTAACACACATTAGAAATAGTTACTAAATTATTTCTAATATGTGTTAAATGTGCGAACAAAAACAATCAAAGGTCTTTTAAAACATTTTCTAACTGAAAGATGAGATTCTTGATTCTATTTTGTTATCATTAACAGAAAGAGAAATTTTCTTGGATTTGCCTTTTAAAATAATTATTTAGCATCCTGATTTAAAAACTGGTTTCTTCTATTGTGATAGAAGACACAACATAAAATTAAGCTTACCTATTTTACCTGAACTGTTCAATGGCATTAAATACATTCACATTATTGCGCAATGTTTATTTTACATTTAAAGAGCTGGAGTTTATCTACACATCTGAATACAAAGTTTTTCCAACTCCATTAGTCCACGCAAAATGCCTGTGGCTAATATTCAATGTATGCACTTTCAATTTTTTAAAAAAATTCTTAAAAGTTAGAACAAAATTTATTTGTAGTCCTGTATCACCAATAATCTTTATATTTTAAGTGCATATTCTTTTTAAACTTGGCTCACAGAAATACTTATTTTAGGTAATTATCATCATAGAAGAAAACATCATTTATTTTTTAAAAGTGTGCTTGGGATGGAACCCAGAGCCCCACACATTTAAGTAATTTTTAACTCCCATTTTAATAACTTTTGTTCCAGGGACAGTGCCACATGCCTATAACCCCAGCTACTCAGGAGGCTGCAGTGGGAGGATCCTCCAGCCCTGGACTTTGAGAAGCTTAAACAACATAAAGACACTCCTGGTCTCAAAAAAAGGAAAAAGAAACTGTTCTACCACCACCCATCAACTCTTCAACTCTTTATGGGACATTTATGATCCAAGCCCAGGACTGGGGGTGATCATAGCACTGCAAAAAATCACCAGGAAAAAGCTAATCACACTGTTTTATCTCCTCTTGAGCCAAGTACATTTTTATATCAATTTCATGACCACAACATTTATAGTTGTATAAACTGAGCTAGTACATTAACAATTTCCCAAGCAATAGAAATTACATTGTTTTAGAATTTCTACCATTACTGATAATGACATAAAGCAGTCTTATTGGTCAGCTGAATTAACCTACAATTATGCTTGAGATGAAGATTTCTGAATTAAGAATATGATTACTATTATTATAGTGATTGATAGTACCACACTATGATTTAACCAAGAAATGTACCAATCTGTGATGACTCTTAAGTGATCAAATTTCACTACCATATTATCAGTACACTCAGAAACATCTGTCCTTCAAGGTTATTTGTGTATTGCCTGATTATTAGGTAAATAAGAAAAACAACAGGAAATGGCTGACAGATTTGAACAAAACTATTCTTGTCACTGGACATATTCCTAACAATGATACATACAGTGACAGAATCCAGAATTCAGTAGATGGAGATTACAAGAAGCAAAATTAATTCATCTCACTACCATCTGGGGAGGTAGGAAAGCTACTCTATTACCAGGAAACAGTTGTTCTCAGGCTGAAAATGTGGTAATACATATATGCAATGAAATATTATTCAGTCTTTAAAAAAAAACAGAGAAGAAAATATTATCATTTCAGTCACAAATCAGCCTGAAACAGAGACAAATACCAATTCACTTACATGTGAAATGTAAAAACTCACAGAAACAGAGATTAAAATCAGAAGCTAAATACAGGGAAAAGAAGAATGGGGTTAGGGGGGAAAATAATCCAAAAGCATAGCGAAGTACAAATGAACAGAACACAAATGACCAATTAAGTTATAAGAAACAGTAACTTCACTGTCTAATCACAGGATAGAATAAAATATGGAATATGGTGACATTTAGGCCATAAAATTGTAACACATTTACCTCCACATGAAAGCTCATCTTGAAGCAGAACTAGGTGCATGGGGCAAGAACACCTTGTAGTGCCATCACCTTTTACAAGACAAATATGTGAACAACCACCATTATCCTGGGCACAAGGGTGCTGTCCTGGAAAAAGCAACAACTTTTATCAAAACAAATTTCTGTTAGGAAACACAAAGAAAATCAACTACAAAATCAGCTTGGGGACTTATTTCTAAACAATTCCTCACTCCATTTCCACAAAACAGTAAGAACATATCTATAGCTAATCAATCAATCAGTCAATCAATCTACTGAATTTTGAGATGTGTCTCACTATGTTACTCAGACGGGCCTCAAACTCCTGGGCTCGAGTAATGTTCCTATTTCAGCCTCCCAAGTACTGTGACACACACATTTGTAAGCAAGAAAATGGTATAGGCTTATACCAATTTTGTTAACAAGAAAAGAAGATTACTGAAACAAGAAAAATCACTGGGGAGATGTCTTAAGACCAGGATATTATTCTCTTTAAAATATGAGAACTCTTCTCTAAATTACAATTTTTAATTCTGAAAGAGTTAAAATGGTAATTACAGTTGTCAATGAAAGTTACAGTTATCAGAAAAATCTTAAGATGACATGGAACTAAGACATTCAATACGAGACAAATTTATTTGCTTTGTTAATTTAAAAAGTAACTTGCACTCTTACAAATGTTTCATTTCTTCTTCAGCTAAAATGTACTTTTTAAGTGAAGTTATTTTGTCTTTTAGACAGAATTTCTGAGTTAAAAATCTTTAATTAAAATAACAAACTATTTGGCAACTTTTTGGGCTGTTTTACAAGTTGTATTTAAGGTAATGACTGCTCTAAATTTTTTGTTTAGCTTGTGTTACAAGTAGCCTTAGACCCTTTGTCATCACAGAACATTCGCCTTTTGTTATACTCATCTACAATAACCAAGGGTTCTGCTTCAGTTTATGTTGAGGTTGAGACTCAGCTATCTGGCAATGAGCAGACACCCCAGACAGCCTACGGAGCAGAGTTTCTCTTCCTTTAATTCCAGAACACTTCTGAGAAACAAAACTCTCATTCATTTGACTTTATCAGAAATTTCAAAAACTGCTTTCCCAACTACAGAACCAAAATATGTCTAGCTGTACTATATAAAGGGAGACACTCTCACTTATAATTCTGAAAATAACCACTGATATTTTCTACAAAACAAATATTCATATCTCAACTGAGTAACTTATGTTATTATGCCATTATTATTTTATTCCAATCAAAAGTTCAGCTTGAATTATATGTCTTAACATAAATGCCAAAATATCCAACTTTCTAACTCTCAAAAAGCTCTAATTTACTTATAAGTTGATGAAAGGAGGCAACACAATGAACACTTGAATGAACCATGGTACTCACTCCTTTTTCCTCTTTTAAGCTTTCATTCGAAAGCACTGAGCTAGAAGGAATTTCAGTTTTCTAATACTGTACTCCTACCACCATTAGCACTTTATGTATTAAGAAAAATTAAGCCATACGATTATCTATTTCAAAAGTTTTCAAAAAATTCCACTAACACTGTAAGAATTGCAGAATTTATCTAAGAAGAAAATATGCACTGATTAAACACCCTCCACTATACTTTCATACTGATTTTTAATTTGTTTTACTTTTAAGAGTATAGTTAGTCTATGATAAGCATACAAGTCATGATATAAAATTTTATTTTTCTTCAAACTTAGGGCCATAGAGGGAAAAAAGAGAAACAAAAACTTTATACCAAAAGAACTGCAGGCAATAGACAAAAGGCATGATAGAGTTAGAGTCACTGTTGCACCTAGCAACTTCTGTTTGTATACTGGAATTAAACCTGTGCCTCATACATATTTAGAAATCCTTTTATCATGAAGCTACACCATCAACCCAAGAATTTTTACAATGAACAAGACCATTTTTCCTGCTTCCATTTTATGAGAGTTTGAAAGCATGAGTTAAAAGAAAAAATGGCAAAACTAAAAATGTATGAAAATGCTGAAGACAAGAGATGCTGAAAAGACACAAACATACATCTTAATTTCTTGCCACAAATGTGAGTCTCCAAATAGCATTATCCTCAGCACTTACTGTACTCCTGGAGATCCAGCTCCTTTACTGCATGGATGTCACTGAGTTGGGCGATCCGGGCCTGTACCTTCGTTCTGCCCTCTCGACCTGTCATGTCTATTTTTTCAATCATCTGTTGTTGCTTATCAATCCAATAGAGCCAGTTTTCAAACACAGTCAGTCCCACAGGCTGTAAAATATTGGAGTCTTCTAACACTATCCTATTGGCACCTTGAGAAGAAAGACATTCAACAGCAGTGACTCCAATTCATCAAACCATACTTTCAACAATTATTTACTGACTAGCAGTAAAGATTCTAAAAGCATGAGAAAGAAAGTATACACTCTTTACCACAAAATTTGAAAATCATGCTGACAAAATACATGAGATTAACTCTGGTATTAGGTAGTAATGATGCAGGGAATACAGGAATTAACTAACATAGGCAGGTCTCGGCTATATATGGTTTCGGGCAACCCCTGGAGATGCTGGAACATAATCATCTTGGTACAAGGAAGACTGCTATGGGTCAATGCAACACAACAGAACTGATTCATGAGTGTATGAGAATCTCATATATAATAAAAGTGATATTTCAAAACAATGGAAAAGAGAGCTGGGCATGATGGCTCATGCTTGTAATCCCAGCACTCAGGAGGCTGAGACAGAAGGATCATTGTGAGCTCGGGACCAGCCTGGGCTACAAAGTGAGCTCAAGGCCAGCCTGAACTGCATAGTGAGACCCCGTCTCAAAAAGACAAAACAAAACAACAACAACAAAACAATGGAAAATACAGTGAATGGGGCTGAAAAACTTCACTAGACAGACCAAAGGGCGTGGGTCTGGGTCATTTCATGACATAAGCAAAAGAAGGCTACTATAAATCTGCAAATAAAGCACGAGATCACTATAGGAAAAACCCTAAAGCTGTACCAAAAACTATTAAGACTAAAAGGAAGGGATACTCCACTGTCACGAGTGAAAAAACTAAATTTCTAAAACATGCCCCCCTTCAGTGTATATGTAACTTAATAGGTAACACTATGAACAAAGAATTTCTAGACAAATCAGTGTCATTGAGTGGGCTGCTGCCATTGGGGGAGATAGCCAGCCCCCAGCCTTTTCCTGTGAGTCAGCACCATTCGCAGACTGCAGGGCAAGAGAACAAGAATTCACCAAGAAGCAAGCCTTCCCTGTGAACCAGTGTCATGTGTGGACCACTGCCAACAGGGGACAGCCAGACCCCCAGCCTTTTCTGGTGCACAGGCTGGGAAACAAGAAGAGCCAACCCCCAACACCCTGAAAGTGACCAGCTGATTCAGAGAAACATAGGCTGCAATGATAGCTAGTGAGGTGAAATGCAATTTGATGCTTGTGATGATTGGCATTTCAATGACTTTGTAGGGACCAGTGGTCTGATCATTTATTCAGAGGATAACATCCCGCACTGTGGCATGGATTGGGGATCTCCTTCTGAAGGTGGTAGCCACTGTTAATTCCCTATTGTTTTATTTTGAAGTTCTGTATCATTTTCACTGTTTTATTGGGTTGGGTTTTGTTTTGTTCTGTTTTGTTTGATTTGATTATATCCAATGGCATGGGCCGTTATTTCAAAGATAAGATATATTATGGTAGCCATTTTGGATTTACTATTGTCTTGTATTGAAATCTTTTATTACAGTCAATGTTTTGTTTTTACTGGTTCTATTCTGTCCCACCCCTACCCCCCGCCTGATTTTTACTAAATCTGAAGGTATCTGCAGCTATTCTAAAGACAACAAGAGGAATTATGGTAACTATTGTTGACTTCGTATTGTTTTGAAGTCCTGTGTCACTTACACTGGTTTGTTTTGATTAGCTTTATTCTATTTTGCTTGGTTTTATTCTCTTTAAAATAAATTCTAGAAAACCAGAAAAATGGACAGAGTCTATAAACAGCAATTCACAAAAGAAATGTTAATTATCAAAAAGTACAGATCTTATTAAACCTTAATAGCAAAAGGAAGTTTAAGTATGTATGTGTATATTTGGTAAAATAAACCATACAATCTAAAACAAGCATGGCAAAGAGAAACATTTTCAAAAGTTATTTCTGGGGAAGACAACAAGAGAATCAAAAAAGGACATAGGGCCTCAGAATTCTCTCTAATGTTTAATTCAAAGGAGGGAAAGAGAAAGGAGGACCAAAAGCAAATATGACCAAACATTAAAATATGACAAAGCTGGATGACAGGAATTTCATAATTTCTGAATGTTTGAACAATTTCATAATCAGGGTAAGGAAAAACATCCATGCACAGAGAAAAAGAGAACTCAGTTCATTAATGTGTTAATCATGGTGCTGGAGACAACTTTTTTTCCCTTTTCTTATTTTCTAAGTTTTCTTTAATGAAAATGTATTACTTTTAATAAAAAAAAAAAAAACCATAAGGGGAACCTATCTTCAACACTAATTAAAGAGCTAAAATGTTGACATAAATAATTATTATACAAATTAGAGGTGATACAAGAGATACAGGGATCAGATGAGGGAAATAATGTAACACATCCGACAAATGAATACATCTGTGTAAGTGTGTGCAGCTATCTGGAACCAGAGAAAGCAAATGGGACACTAGAAACTGAAGACAACTTTTCTACAAGTGTAAAACAAATTACAAATGTATTTATAAAGATACAAACATTCCAACAATGTAAGAATAATGTTTTTGCTCTGGTACTGGGCATCAAACCTAGGGCCTTGGCACTGAGCTATATATTTAAATCCTTCATTTTTAATGCTGAGACTAAGTCTTGCTAAACTGCTCAGGCTGGGTACGAACAAGTGAGGTTCCTCTTGCCTCAGCTCTCAGAGAGCTGGGACTATAGACTATAGTAGCAGAGTGCTGCTGCTACATCTAGCTAGAAATGACATGCTTAACATTTTAATATGCTAACATTCCAGAACTTTATCAAGGTAGATTTGTTTACGTATTTCTAAAGCAACACGTAGACATACATTTTCTTGGCATACACCTATTGTGTATATACATATGCATGTATGTTTTGCTTTGTTTTGTTTTGAAGCCAAGTGTGGTGGCATATGCCCGTAATCCCAGCATTGGGAGGCTCTGCCAGGAGAACTGTCCAACATTCAAGGCCAGCCTGGCCTACACAGTGAGTTCAAGGTCTGCCCTACTCCATAACTAGGTTAGCCTTGAATTTGAGATCCTCTTGTCTCAACATTCCTAGTGCTAGGATTATAGGCATATATTATCACCATGTGCAGTTCTAGTCTTACATTTTAAATAAACTGAATCTTAATAATAAAATCTGTCATGTACTGTAAGTTTTAAAAATAATCCTTTTATGTCAGTGCACACAGAACCTGCATGACTGTAGTATTTCATACACTGATATACTGCTCCACAGATTATCTCTAATAGTGTTTGTAAATCCCTTTGAATACTTTCTGTAATACAGACATCTACAAGAGAAATTACCAGATTAAAGAGAATGTGTTTCAAATTGTAGTAAATACTGGCAAATTGCCCACATATATGTTCTATCCATTTCCATTTCCCTCACAGTACATGAGAGTGTGTCATTTTCTACCACTCAGGCCAATCTTGAGTATAATCTAATATATTTTTGCTATTCTGATGGACATACTGCATTCTAATTGCATTTTCCTAATCTCTAGTGAGGTCACTCAATATATGGACATCAGAAATTAGGGTAGAGGAGAACTATGAGTACAGACATAAAGCTGCAGAAAACCAAGAAAGTACCTTCAGAGCAAGAAATGATTTAATTTAGTTAAAATAAAATAAAAGGTCATGATAAAGTTGTGAACAGCAAATACCATTATACTCCAAATGTACAATGAAATCCTTTTCCTACAGGTTATAAAACTACCCTGAAGTACAAAGGTAACTTTAGAAACCATGCTTCAAAAATTATGTTTCTGTATTTAAAATTATGCTTGTGAAAACTTTAATGAAGAAAAATGGGGAAAGTTCAATTATAGGCTAAATTCAGGCCAGAGATAATAAGAACATAAAGTAAAGCAAAATAACTGGGAAAGGAGAAGCAATATATTAGAAATGTATTGTTTACAGATCAAGAAAACCTGTATATATTTTGATAACAAAGAGAAAAACTGTCAATGCTGAAGCAAAAGCATTCCCCAATTAACATGATACTCATTATATTTAGTGAATAAAACTAATGTGCACAAAATTAATACAATGCAAGATAGTAGAAAAGCTACTGATGAATCATCTCAAAAAATACAAAATAAAATATGGAAACACACTTCTCAGTACCTGAGAGATCACTGCTTTCAATTCGCCGGAGATCTGAATCAGCCCAAAAGAGTTTGCCCAACCTGCTATCAAGAGCTAAAGCAATTGGTTTACTTAAGCCACTGAAAAAGAGGACCTCCCGTTCTGTTCCATCTAAAGCAGCCCGTTCTATTTTGGGAGATCTTTCCTGAAGATTAGTAAAATACATATACCTAAAGAGATAAGAAAAAACAGCTTAGCAAAATAAGAAATCACATGAAAATATTTTTAATTAAGATAAGTAATAGTAGGTGATAAAGGTATACACTTTAGAGGTAGAACATATGCCTAGCAGGTACAAGGCCCTGAATTCCACCCCCAACACAATTTTAAAAAATAAATAAATGGAAGTAATATAGAATTTTAAAATCTCGTTTTATTTTTTGTACTGAGGATCAAACTCACAACTTTGCACTTACCAGGCAAGCATTCGAACCACTGAGCTAAATCCCTGGCTCCCTAAAATCTTATTTTAAATGCTTTAAAATACATTTTGTAACTTATTTTTAACAGACAAAAACACAAAAATTGTATGTATTAATGGGGTAACATGTTTTAATTTATGTATATATTGCCTATCTATCTGTATCACATCAAGCATTTATCATCTTTACGCAGGAAACGTCCAAAATCCTTTCTTCTAGTTTTTGAGATACACACATTATCAATCACTACTGTAATTATTCTAGTGAGCAACAGCAAATCAGAACTTACTACTATCCAACTGCAACTTAGTACTCACCGGTTAACCTTTCCCCATTCCTTCTTTCCCCCAAAAGTCTATTTTTTAAAAAGGTCACGGGATACTTTTATAACTTTCAATAACAGTAACAAAGGATATACAATCCTTTGGAATTTTCATAGATTAATATAAGTATTAAGACAAAAACATACCTGTGCTTTCAGAAAAACACAATAACCTGCAAATGGATAGCAGGAGACCTGGACACAAAATTTTAAGCTCCCTTTCCTAAATGACCCTATTACCTAAAATGAAACCATATTTGAACTATTTCATATATTTAACTGATAGGTTTCATCCCTTTTCTACAGACTATTTGAAGTATGCCACTTTTCCTGAATTCTTTATATCATTCAAATGAAAATGAGTACTGAACATTTATTAAATGTAAAGCTTTGTATTAAATGAAAAAAAACCTTAATTCTTATTATAAAGGCATCTAAGGTCTGGTAAGAACACATAAATGAAAAAAAGTTAAGTACAAAGCAATCTGTAAACATGACTGAGAGGCAAAGATACAGAGCACCAAGAATATAGGAAATGAATGAATCACATCTGTGTAGGGCAGGCAACCAAGGAAAACTTCATGGAGGACGTGGCAGTTTAAAATGGTCCTGGAGGTATGCTGACATTGAGAACTAAACTAAGGAAGGAAATTCTAGGCACTGAAATCAAGAGAAAGCAGAAGAAAGCTGTAAGAAAATGCAGGTGCAAGTGAACACAGAATACTGAGTTGTTCACTGGAGAATAAGGTTAATATATGCCATATCCTTGGTTATGTAACAGCTCTAATTTCTATCTACTACCAGTCATTAGGTTCTGACCTATGCAGGATAAGATGCATCTGCAAAGGTAAGTAAATGATGGCCTGAAGTGAAGAGGAAGGAGGAAGAGGGTCTCAGATGCAAAGCTATCTAAATGCCATATCACAACATACCCCTTCTCTGGATTAACCACAATGGCTCGGGGTCGGTCTTGATCGCCTTTTAGCACCACTCCAATTGATCTTCCATCTAATCTTGTCACATTAATGACATTCGTAGCCTCACAAGTCCAGTAGATATAGCGGCTATAAATGTCAATGCTGAGGTCATAGGGCTGTATTTCTAGGTTCTGGTTTGGAACTGAGCTCACCACCACAGTAAAGCCCTAAGGGAAAAATAAAAACACATAGAAGTTAAGACTCTACACTAGATGGCCTTGTGACAATCACTCAAAAGTGTATACCTACCTATGTGCTCACATACATCAGAAGGATCTCAAGTCTTCATAAGCGTTTTTTACTGGTATTTTTCATCCTTTCTTTGCAGAGAGTTGGGGGCAGCACTGGGATTGAACCCAGAGCCTTTGGACTGAGCTACATATCCAAACCTTTTAAAATATTATTTTGAGACATGGTCTCACTAAATTGCCCAAGCTGGGCTCCAGTTTCTACATGCCTATAATCTAAACACTCTGGGAGGCTGCAGCAGGAGGATCACAACACTAATATGTTTGTATAGGTAATGTGCTTCTTTCTCACCATACATCTCAAATGTTCTCTTGGGTTATTATAACCCGGGGCAGAAAAGGGCAGAGGACACATTAGTTGTTCCTAGGACACAATAATACCTTGATTAAAGATGGGAATGAGAAAGTGGCATCTATTTCCCGTAAACTGTAGACAATTATAACTAGACCTCCAACCTAGAATATCTCTGGATCAGTAGTTCTCAACCAGGAGTGATTTTTGTACCTTAGAGATATTCAGCAATATGTGGAGACTTTTTCTCCTCAGTATTAGAGAATGAACCCAAGGACTTTGCACTGTACTATTATCACCAGTCCTGGATACTTGAGACAGTCTTCAGACAGTCTTGCTATGTTTCCCAGACTGACCTCAAACTTTCCATCCTCTGGCCTCAACCTCCCAGAATGCTAAAATTATAGGTGTGCACCACCATGTCCAGTGTGGAGATACTTTCCATTACCAGACTGAAAGTATTAATGGCATCTAGTGGGCTGAGGCCAGGGATGCTGAATATTCTATAATGCAAAAGGCAGCCCTCTCATAAAATAATTACCCAGCCTAAAAATGTCAGCAGTGCTGAATCTGAGGGATATTACTTTAGAAACACAACTAGTTAGGGTTACAAACTACATAAACCATCTGTATCTCTTAATTTCAAATGCACACACACAAGATAATTTCTAAGTATCTTCTTTTAACAAAACCAAGCAAGAGGGAATTTGTCCAACTGTTCCACCTGAATAAATTATATATCATTTCCTAGGACTCTAGGTAACATATTGCTCAACAAGGTTAATATATGCCATATCCTTGGTTATGTAACAGCTCTAATTTCTATCTACTACCAGTCATTAGGTTCTGACCTATGCAGGATAAGATGCATCTGCAATATACAACAATTATCACCCTCCATGTGATCCTTCAGCAGTTCTACACTTACTTTCTCCTTAGTCTTTACTATGAGATAAGACACAGGAAAAATTAGTAAGCTAAATGCCCTAAATTTAATACATTCAAAATATAACTCAACATCACTGCTATCAGAAAGATGATAAGTATTTATTATAATGCTAGTCTAACGTTCTTAGGCTACAGAAAGAAAGCAAGAATGAATAGAGGTAAATCTATGATTGGTACACAGGCATACATAAGACTGACATTATCTGTTTCATCCCCAGTTCTGTAAGACTGTATCTTAAAAAACCGAAACCCAAACCAAACCAACAACAATCACCAAAAAAGGTTAAGGATATAGCTCAATGCAAAGGCCCTAATACTGCCGCCCACTCCCCGACCCGATTTTTTTTTTAAAAACTGAGATTGTATTATATATTTTCTACCTCCTTACCCTTTGAAGTAATAGGTAATCAGCAATGTAGCGGTTATTTATCAAATTCCTACATTTAACAGGCAAGGGCAATGTATTCCACATTCCTTACATTGTGGTCTAAATTCCTTTCCATTCAAAAGTTCATAAAAAGTAGTGCACAAGAGCTGGAATTTGAACTGAGGCCTATATGATTTCACTATTTCTAATATTCCATACAAACTGAACTCTAAGGAGCAAGGTGATATTGATGGATGTGCATGAATGGTAAACTCATTATCAGTAAGTTATCTTCGTAAAATTTCTACCCAATACTATCATTAAATAATTGTTCACTCAGAAAAATGTTCATCAGTTAAAGAATTTCAGCCAGACACACACATATACACGTGGAGTCAAATCAAATAGGATGGCTGGAGGGCTGGTTAGTCCAATTACGAGACAGAAGAAATGAGTTTTGAACTGGGTCTAGAATTACCTGGCTGCCATCTTCTTGTGCCTTTCGGATCATGTTTTGTCGTGAATCAATCCAATATAGTTGCTTATCCAGTGGGTCATAGTCAATGGCCCGGACATTCCGCAGGCTATGGATAGGAAGAATGATGTCAGGACTCTGTTGTTCATCAATCACCATGCGGTTGATGGCACTCTTTTGACTGAAGAGCAGAAAAGTAGTAGGAGCTTAAAAAAAGAAAAGATATATCTGAAATATGGTTACTGTAAGTCTCATTTAAAGATTTAACTTGCCTATTGCATGTACCTCCTAGACACAATAAGGCTAAGAACAGAATCATTTGGCACACTCCCAGAAACATTCTTCAGGGTGACACTAGTAGGTATTCTGGTTATCAAATAGTTATGGGTTAGTCTTGACCCAGTGTCAAGACCCATATTTTTCTCCATTTTGCACCAAGATATCACAGGAGACTTCATTTCAATGAAGCACTTGAAAACTCTTCACTTCTCCCAGGTGACTGACTATTCCTCCTTAATTTATTCTTGTGTGTGGTGGGGAGTACAAATCCTGGGCTTCCCTAGGTCAAAGCAGAAACTTCAAAACTAGTTTTAAGTTCAGCTTTTCCACTATCTACTCTTCTTTAGATCAAAATTATCTCAAAAACCTATTAGAAATCTTCATTATCTATCACATACTGATTTAACAACTTTCAGGAATTTCAGAACAGGCCATGCCTTAAAGTAAAAAAGCTTCTCACCATTTTCAAAAGAACTGTTTTTGACAGCACTACTTTCTCAGTAAAGAGACATAGATATAGAACTTTAAATTGTAAGTTTCCAACAGCATAAGCACCACTCATACTAAGACACAAAATAAGGCTTAGAGAAAAAGATTCCCAGTTTGTTTTCCCCAGTGCTGGGAACTGAACCCTATACTTCTGCATTGCAATACAAGCACTCTAACACTAAGCTATACATCCAGCCTAAATATCCTGGAATTTTAGTTCCCAAATTTTCTTGTCTGGCCAGCTGCCTATTTCTGTAACAAAATTTTATTGAAATTCAGTGACTCCCACTGAAAAATTGCATTGTCTATGGATATTTCATGCTATAGTAGAACATTGGTCAGAACTGAATAGGTATCAGAACCTACATACCCACAAAGCCTAAAACATTTACTGTCTGGTCCTTCATAGAAAGTATTCCACTCACTTTCTCCCTAGGTAACCTTACTCATTAAATACACCCAGGCAATTCCAAAACATGCACTTTCCATTTCATCTCTTTCTCTGAGAGCACATCTACTATAACACCTAATCAAGAAGTCATCCTTGCTTCTCTCTCTACTTTTTCTCCAAATACAGCCCATTACTAAGTTCTATTCATTCGAGCTCCAATGATCTGAGTCCCTCAGCATTTATCACTGCTGCCACAACAACAGTCCAAGTTTATCCATAGAGCCATGCTAGTCTTTACCTCCCCACTATCCCTTCTTCTTTCCAACAATCAGATCACATGCCTTAATCTTTATAACATTCCTAATAGTTGGTATTATTATTCTCATTTTTAAATCAGAAAAGTTAAACCAAAAACCTGATTAGCATTTCTCTAATGGTCAAAGATGACAAACATTTTTTCATGTATTTATTGGCCATCTGTACTTCTTCTTTAGAAAAGTTTCTACTCATTTCAATTGCCCATTTACTGACTGGGTCTGTTCTTGGTTTTTTTTTTTTTTTTTTTGGTCTAATTTTTTTGAATTTTCTATATACCTCTGTATTTTACATACTAGTTCTCTGAAGAGTAACTGGCAAAATAAATTTCCCATTCTATACACTGTCACTCTACTTTATTGGTTGTTTTCTTACTGTGCACAAATTTTCAAGCCTGATTTAACCCCAATTTATTGATTTTTAGGGTACTGATATTTATATAGTTGGAGTTCTGTACAGAAAATCCTTATCTATGTGTCTGCTGTCAAAAGTTTTACCAATTCTATCTTCCAGTTTACTCCAGTAAGAAGGTTATCGTCAATGATTTGAAGTAACAAATACTGGCAAGGTTGTAGGGAAAAAGGAACCTTTCTATACTGTTGATGGGAATGTAAACTAGTACAACCACTATGGAAATCAGTATAACTGACAGTAATTAAAATATGGAACTGGCTTATATGCTCATTAACAAATGAATGAAGAAAATGTGGTATATATACACAAAGGAGTGGCACTTAGCCATAAGGAAGTATAAAATTAAACAATTTGTAGGAAAATGGATGTATCTTGAGACTATAATGCTAACTGAAATAAACTGGCAAACATGATTTCTCTTACACAAGAAGCTCAAAGTATATATAAATTCAAAGAGCAAAATAAAAGAGAAATGGTAGAAAACAGAGAAAAACTTTGTAGAGATGGGAAGGGGACATGAGGAAAGAGGGAGAGGGGAGGGCAGGACAGGGAGTAAAAATAATCAAGAAGCACTATGTATATGTATTAATCCACTGAGATAATTATATAATTATATACTTCAAATATATAGCAAAAGAAACTAAAACTTTTAAGCCACTTACAGAAAAAAAAATTAATGTGTAGCACACTATAAAAACATAACAACCATTAAACAATATGGATGTTCTCTTTAACAATTGAAAACAGTCTTAGAATAGACTAAATTCTTTCCTATCCAATTTCTGATATATTCTCTCAGGCACAGAAGAAAATATCAATAATCATAACCGGGCTGGGGATTTAGCTCTGTGGCATAAGCGCCTGCCTGGCAAGCACAAAGTCATGAGTTCAATTCCCAGTAGCAAAAACAAATAAATAAATAAATATCCTATAACAAATTTGTTACATTCTCCATACTGACCTATAACATGTGCCTACTCTTTCTATTCTTTCTGTTTCTTGATTACATCTACTAATTTGTTCTTGTCTAACCACCAAAAAAGATTTTCATACATACTTAATCACATGCCAGGTTTCTACTGGCCAAAAATGTTCTTTTACACACTGTTGTTGGCAATGTATGTGTGGGTTTAATGTGAACTGCTTACCAACATTTATAATAAAAAGATATTCTAGACACCACCACCACCACCACCCCGGCTGCCCAAACCAAAACAAAACAACCTTGCTCGATGACTGGATGAAAATATCTGGTAACATCAGGAGGAATTAGGTAGCACCACCCACTACATTCAGACATATATTACCTAATTCTCTACCTAGGACTATTATTTATTACTAGTTAAATTTTTTCATGTGTATTTTTCTCTTAGTTTTATATATAATTAAATTTTTTCTGCTTGTCCCTATTCCGTACATTTTAAATGACAGAAGGTTACATTTTGACAGAAGGTTACAGTTTTTTTATTGTACAATTTGTACTGCTTTTCCTTTCCTAATGAACAAGAATTATGTGTAATACACAAGTGATTACCCCATCCTCGCACATTCTGCACTATTCTATCCCCAAGGGTAAAAGCTTTAAACTTTTCTATAATGTATGTTTCCGCTATCAAATTAAGTGACAAAACTTGCAATATCCTGCACTACTTGGCTCTCTTTTTTTTAACTGTACAAATGATTAACTCTGAACTTCTGGTACTTTTACACTAGAAAAAATTTAAATTAATTAAAGAACTTTTCAAAATGTTTTCCAATTCTGGCCTGCTGCAGGGGAAATGCAGCTTACCACTACAAGTCCTGTTGTCAGCATTCAGGGAGTAGTGAGCAGGGCATCCACACACAAAACCTCCAACCGGCACTGCCAGGCAGAGGTGGGAGCAGTGCCCATTGCTGGAAGCACATTCATTCCACCCTGCCTGCCGTGAGGAGTGGAAGACTAGGATGTCCATCACATAATCCAAATGGCCCTGAATGATAGTGCGGTTCTGGCCACTGGTTTTGTTGGCACGCTCAATGCTGCGTCGGCTCCAGTCAGTCCAGTAGATGTAATCTTGGTATTGAGTTAAGCCAAAAGGATGAGGCAAGTCATCTGCTATAACTTCACGGTTGAGTCCTGTTTTCAGAAAGGCAGTAGACAAGGGAGAAACAGAGAGATGACATATGTGAAAATACAAGTGTCATAACGGCCAAAAAATTTGCAAGATATGAAATAATACATTTGTAAGCAATTTAAAATAGAACAATTCATTTAAAAGCAATTCTAAAATCAGACCAGTGCTCTGAAATCGATCCATCTGCAGTCTGACCCCATGCTTCAAATTCATATTCCTCCTATAAATCACCAAGTTTGTTTAAACCCTTAAGAATGTTCTATTTTGATTGTGGTTTTATTTTCTCTACATAAGGGCCTATAGTTCAACATTTCTTCTTCCACAATTCTTTTTTGGTACAAAAAAACCAATCATTTCAGGAATAGCTAGGGAATTAAAAATATCACTATAAAACACCCCAAAATGAAACTATTGCATACTAAAGTGGTATGAATCCAAGTAACTGGTGAGCTACTAATAATATGAATAATACAACTCCAGAACAGGGAAAGAAACTAGACACATCATTTCATTAATAGTATCTAACCAATGATAAATAATAGCCCCTGGTTTTTTGTATAAAGAATACTATCTGAATAAAAATGAGTAAAGCTTACCAAGCATATTTGAGGATTCTATTAAGTTGGTGTCCAGGTCTGTCCAATAAAGCCTTCTTTTAGCATAATCAATAGTCAGGCCATTTGCCCGCCCCACATTTGGAACCAATGTAGTGCGTTCACTGCCATCCATAGCTGCTCTGTCTATCTTGGGTTTTCCACCCCATTCAGTCCAATACATAAATCTGAATTCAAAACAATGCATATTTAACATTTCATTTTAGGTTTTCTGGGGGTATTCATTCACAGCAATTAAACTTAAAGAAAATACATAGTAAATCAAGCAATGGTGAAAAAATTATGGTCACAATTTTTTCCATTATTTTGACACTTTCAACTAAATATCTTTTCTCACATCTCAAATAGAATATGAGTCAGCTTTCTTTAGTTTTTTCCAATGAATCTGCTCCATCCAAACCCAGGAACTGGAAACAAACCAATGGTTTCTTTATTGCAGAACTATCATTTATAAAACTAATATTCATATAAACAGCAAAGGATTAAAGCTCTCGTCTAAGAATCTCAAACTCTTCTGACTAAAATGTGTTTCAAAATACAAGTAACTTAAGCTTTTAAAATGTTGAACTTACTTTTCAACTTGTGTAACCAACTCCCCTCAAAAACAAAATACAGGAGTATATTGAATGTAAAAATATACAGTGAGCTTCTAAAAGGGCAAAGTGGAGAACAAAACCTGAAATAGGGTCCAGGAAATGCATTACAGGAATCAGAAAAATGAATCACCCATGCATTATCAATGGGGCAATGAACACTACTACTATAATCACTGTGATACTGATACTGAAAAATATTCTTGTTTTTATTTTATTTCATTGCATCATTATCTTTAGTCTTACAGATACCCAACTGCTTTTAAAAGAAAGACCAATTTGCTAAAAGAAATTTGTCATATGTTTCCAAACCAGTTACATGGCAGAGCTAAAACTAGAATCCAATCCTTAGCCAAATGCCTTTCTAACTAAACAAGTAAGGCACTAATTTTCAAAAAGTAAATACTGGTACTCAGAAAACACTCCACATGCGAGCTCCAATAAAATACCTGAGGGCAGACATTTACACAACAACCTGTCAGCTGATGGGTAACTTGGTAGCAATATATGATCATGTTCTTTTGAAAAATTAAAAGTTCTTCTAGGCTTTATTTGCATTTGCACTTCGCAGTTGAGAAGCACACATATACTATAAGAGCTAAAAGAAACTGTGAGAGAAATTTTATACTTGTCAGTAGCAATCTATATGAGAGTGCTTAGTCCAACAACTAAATTTACCTGACAATTAATGCTCAGAGCAAAGATACCATAATCCCCTGACAATATATCAATGCACAGAACCTGTCTTTGTAATGGCATTTAATTAGGTGAGCAATCAGTTAAACATGGAATCCACTCAGTGATTTTAGGGAAAACTTTTTAATTACAGATGTGGCAAATTTATTCATGCTGTTGATTTCTTGCAAAAACAGACTTTTTTCTTCAAATTTGAAATGTCTTCACTGGTGCCTCATATAAAACATGTTGATTCTTGTAAGTAAACCCACCTTGCCTTAAAAAGTGTGTCCTGCTGCAGGTTTGTCTACCTAATAATCTAAAATTTCTCCAAGTTTATAATAATGATCAAACTAACTGTCCACTTTGAATTAATGGATATTCCAAAATGGAGCTTTTGTGTGTAAGGACCTGGGGGCTCAATTCTCAACAGTCACATATAAAATTATACATTGACAAATTAATTAAAACTAACAAGAACTTGTCTTAGGAAATTGGATGCACCTTGAGACCATACTCTTAGGTGAAATATATCAGACACATATGTAAATACCACACTATTTTACTGGTATGAGAACCAAAAGTGTAAATAAGAACCAAAATTTACACTACATATTGTGAAATAGGAAGAAAACATTCAAATGAGGAAAGGAACAAAGAAGGGTTGAAGGGGAAATGAAAGGGAAAAGTACAAAGGAAAATGAGAAAAGGAGGAAAAATTAAAAATAAAGGTTCCATAAATAGGAAAGGGAAAAGGGTCTGAAGAGAGGATGGGAAAATCAGAAAAAAAAAATCAAGTTATATCATGTACAGATACAAATTCTCTATCAAATTCTCCATGATGAAATGTGATCATTATGAATATCTAAAAGGTACCAATAAAATCTGATTGGAAAAAAAATGGAAAATAAATAAATGAGAGCTTGGTAAAATATATAGTCTCCTCTCATTTATGAGGATATATTCCAGACACTCAGTAGATGCCTGAAAAGATAAAAAGTACTATATCCCATAGTTTTTTCCTATACTATCTATGATAAAATTGATAGATATTATAAATCTGGCCCAATGACAGATTAATAACTAAAAATATAATTTAATATTCTATAGTTAAAGTTATTTAAAATTTATGAATTCTTTACTTCTGGAAATGTTCAGACCACAGGTAACTGAAACTATGGAAAATGAAACTGTGTATAAAGGGTCACGAGTATATTTTTAAGCACCCAACACTGTTTCAGCAAATTTATTATAACAAATTTGGAACTCAGTGTAAGTGGAAAAGACTCAAGCAAATACTGGGTGAAAGTACCTTTTAAAAGTGCTCATGCATTGGCCTAACATGGGCAAGGCCCTGCATTCAGTTCCTAGTGTTGTCAAAACAAACAAAAAATAACTGTTCACTTAGTATGTAAATATTAATCAGTAGCATTTGATTATGAATTCATTTCATTCTTTACCTAGTGTTAATAATTGCAGAAATAAAATTTAGCTAGCCAGGCTTAGTAGTGCACACCTATTAATCCAAGAAGTAGGGAGATAGGATTGTCAAGTACAAGATCACTCTGAACCTCTGTATATATTAAGACCTTGTCTCAAAAATCCAACAGGGTAGGGAGGGAGGATAAAATTTAGCTAATAATGAATACTGATCAGTGAGTGAAATCTCAAAAATTTTTTAAAGCCTCTTTATCTGTTAGATTATTTATAAGCATCATTTAAAACATTAAGAATAAAATCTATAATCAAGCAGTGCTCCTCAAAATATACAATGTAGTTGCAAAGAATGCATATATAAAGGTATTTACCCTTCAGCAGGGTCCAAGGCTAGAGCTCTGGGGCTGTCTAGGTCTTTCCAAACCAAAACCTGTCGGTGCTGTCCATCCAATTTTGACACTTCAATTCGATTTGTTCCTGTGTCGGCCCAGTATAAGTTCTTCCCAAGCCAGTCCACTGCCATGCCTTCTGGGTAATCTAAGCCGAATTCTACCACATGTTCCAGTGCACTGCCATTCATAAAGGCTCTGCTGATGGTCTGTGAAATTAAAATTCACAAATAAGTCACACAGTTTACATGTAAAATACTAAACACAAAGAAGATTTGGTCCAGTTTTTGTTGCAGGTAGAAAGATGCAGAAGAGTCAAGAGGCATACATACTATTTCCTAATAAAATGCACGGTTTATAATCACAGAAAAATTTTATGTCAATCTCTAATAAATGCAACTGTTTTATTGCTGCTTCAGAGAGAAAATTTTGAAACTCTAAAGAACCAAAAATGTATTTGCAATCAAAAGAGGAAGATATCACAAGGATGCTATGAACTCTTAACTTATAGCAAACTTTGAAAATGTCTGAAGAGAATGCCAAATCACTGTAAAATGAGATTTCAACACACTTTATAAAATGAATATAACTATGTTTTATTATTACAACTATAGCCTTTAATTTAAAAAAAATCATAATTCAAGCTAATAACAACAGGTGGTGCCTATCAAGTACTATCCCAAGAAATCTGTGTCCAGAGATTTTTCTCATTTAGTACAATAGCCCTACAAGACAGGTGTTACCTCTATTTTAAGATAAGAAAATTTAGAAAACCATCCAATAAAAGCCAAGACTTATTTCATTTATTCACTCAACAGACTTTACTGAACATCACAGAATCCAATAATGCCTGGCTCCAAAAGCCCGTATGTTTTGCAAACTAAACCAAAGTTTATATAACTTATCTGAACAAACCCACAACAATCTGGAAGAAGGAAAGACTATTTCCCAGATTTTCTAATCAGGAGTTTCTCTTTCTATCCTAATATGCTTCTCAGCATTTACTCTAGGAAAAAGAAAATAAACCATACCTCATAATTGGCATTTCCTACCTCAGTCAAGACTTCAATTTAAGATATATCAATCAAACCTTTGTAAGCCATTTTATGTGACACATACAATATTTATTCAGGCAGCTAGAGAAAATGCCATTTGTCATCTTCAGATGCAACGATGTTGGGGAAGAGTATATCATGCAGATTTAAAACACTTTAGCAAAATATCTTTTACAAAAAAGCACCTTACAAAATATTGAATGGGCCTTCCCTTTTCATTGCCTTTAAAAATCTAAGGGCTTTTATTGAATTCTGCCTATCGAGCAATAAAAAAGGTAGTTCACAGCATGAACATTCAGAAATTCAGGAAGTTCTCCTTTTTCTAATACTCCCCAGTTTTAATATCTCAATTCTTTTGCTAACCTTGAGTGATATATCAGTCCAATAAATTCGATTGTCTGTGACGTCAAAATCCAAAGCAGACGCTTCTTTGACACCAGTCAGTGGAATGGCCACATTATTATTGTTCGTTTCCAAAGAAATTCGTCTGATATCTGCTCTCCGTGAAAACAGAAGAAAAGCTTCTGGGACAATGCAGGTCTTCATATCACTAATGAGTTCAAAGCCAATGGGGCAGGCACAGCGAAGGCCCTGGGGTCTATAAAGGCAAAGATGGCTACATCCTCCATTTTCCTCAGCACAAGGGTTGGAACCTGAAAGATGAACCAGTTTATAAAAGGACATAGAAGGACACACACACATTAATATAATCAACACATTTTTCACTTTTAAATTGGTTACACATTGGTCCACAAAGACCTATGATTAGGTTATTCCTAGTCTAATATTTCAATTCTATTCCCACAAACAAACAATATGAGGATTAACCAGGAACAAAAGTACGGCAAAGTACTTTCCTTTCTACCCACAGTCAGCTTTAAAACAAAGTGAATTATTCACACAGTAGGACTGAATTCTTCTAACAAGGTGTGCAAGTGCTTACGCATGCACAGCCAAGCTTCTCAGCCATACCGCCAAGACTAAGAGTTAAGGATCATTTCTATACGGTTGAAAACATCAATAAAGTGTATCAGCTTTTCCAGCTGTTGGTTCTCTTTACTTTTTCTTGGTCTAAGTTTCCAATTCCAAGAGATCTGAGAATTTCTTACCAATGATTCGGTGAACATTAGTGGCTTTTAGTCCCATGAGATCAGGCAGTTGATCTATGATGATCTCCCTCTCTGCACTTCGTTTGTGTACTCTTTCAATGCTGCGCCTCTGCCAGTCAGTCCAGTAAACATAGTCCCCCAACAAAGTAAACCCAAATATGTGAGGGATTTTATCTTCCACTAGTACTCGTCTTCCAGTGCCATCAGTATTCATAACCTTCAAGTTTAAATTTGAAGAGAAGAGGATGAGGTAGGTATTTATCCTTCAAATACATTTAATGATGAAAAACTCATCAACCTATGGTATCAAAATCCAAAGGTCATCTTAGTTGTTACTACTACAATGTTTTCACAAAATTGTAACACAACGACTTAAAGAGAATTTCAAATATATGGTATAAGCTCATTTTTACCACTTTCTTCTCCAACCTTATTACTCTTTCTTCTAAAAATTCGGGTAACTTTACATTTGGTACGGGACTCTCTCACTAAATGATCAAAAAACTAAAAATATCATCACCTTTTATTTGGGCATTTGTTTTAATATCCCTTAATATGTTATTTTATCAGACGTTTATCAGACGTTTTCTTTTACAACTTATTTTATTTCTTCCTGAGAGTTTTGCCTTTTTTCTATCTAAAGAAAGTGAGATTCACCTGAAGTGATACAGCTTATTAAATACAATTGATGTCTTTTACAATTGTTTCAACTTAGCATGTTTTTTCCATTTTAGTAATACTAAAATAGTAACCACTGCCAAAAAAGATAGTCTCAATAAATATATCATTTCCTGAGGTTAATATCACAAAAGTATTGAGTTTATGACAGCCTTTATACAACCAAGTTTCTCAGAAACAACACACTTTAATTACCCAACAGCAAACTATTTTTTCTTTTTTGGCACCAGGAATTGAACTCATGACCTCATGCTTGGCTGGCAAGTGCTATGCCACTGAGCTATATGTCTAGCCTGAAAACAGTATTAGTCTCTGATATGTATTAGTCTTTTGCTTTAAAAGATGGAGTAAGTCTTCCAAAGTACTAACATTCAGCCCCAACTGAAACTATGTCTACCAATTAAATTGGTGTGTGTGCTAAGAAATTAGCCTTTGTAAATGTTATCCTGATACTTAATATATACATGTGAACAATATTCATACCCTCTACATCCCCCTTAAAGATATCAGATATAGTCTTATATGACAGTATTAAAAGTGGTAAGAAATATTTCAAGTACATCAACTCTGTATCTGCCTAGGCAGACAGATACTTTCCTAAGTCAAAAACAATTAAAAACTAAGTATTACTTCCATGTCTGATATGATACTTTTTAACACTAATAACTTCATTTGAAAGACAAAGTTAGTTATTTTATATTCAAATTTCCTTGCAATAGACCATTTCTGGGCATGTTTTATAATGATTATTTTATATTTTAAAATTATTTTGGTTCAAATACTGAAACAGTGTTTAAGAGTAAAAAGACTAAGTAAAAGGAGTCAACTATTTATGTATATAACTAGAATGTAAGCTCTAGAATACAGTACCAGGAATCTCCAATTCATTCACTAGTTCCTAAGGACCTACTACCAAAGAATTGAATAAAGGTTTAAGTGATTTTTAATGAAAATAAGATGAAACAATAAAGGCAAAGAAAGAGGCTATTTCCCATTTCTGTGCTATTTTTTAAAGATCTTGTGAGGTCTCTTTTCACCTTAACTGTTTAAAATGATTACTGTAAAACTCTGGCTTTTCAGACTGCCGAGTAAGTGTCGCATGTATGTAGAAAAACTCCCTACTCAAAACTAGGGAACATGAAAAAGTCGCATACAGAAAATAAGTAACTGTGATTAACAGAAAAAGAAAACAAATTTTAAGTTCTGTGATTGTAATCGTCAGCTCTATACAAAGGTGCCCAACAAAGGTCTTGTAGTTTATTAAAGCTCTTATAAGCAATATCTATAATTATATAAAAGGTTTTGAATGCACACTTTTTAAATTCACATTTTAAAATGTCAGTGACCACAATGCTACAAGTGGGATCCTGAGACTCACTAGAAACCTAAGTTGTACCAGAAACCCTAAGAAACTTTCCAAAACATAGAAAATTTGATTTACCTAATGTTCTCATCCATAGATTCTACAGCTTTGCCACTTAAATCCATGAAAACTGTTCTTCCTCAATTTAAATCCATGTAAAGACAATGCTACACAACTAGCTACTTTTGAAGAATGTGTATACTCCTAGTATTTCCTAAAAGCAGAGTTCCTAGAAAAAATTTCTGGCCCCATTCTATTACTTCATAGAAACCGTGATCAAGATGAAAATTTTTCCTTTAGACACCCAACTCAGAATTCTTTTAGGCAGAGGAAGCTTCTTTAACATTCTGTACTTTTGCTTCCCTCCTAATAAGATTATCCTTTGCCTTTAGTATTTCCTCCAACTCCCTTTCTTCTTCCCAAAATTTCCTACTGAGGAAGAACTTCAATTTCCCACTTTCCATAGGGCTCCTTCTTTCTGCCTTTAACATAATACATTCCCCACCTTAAACAATGTGTAAAAATTTGAATGATTGAGTATCTCTGTTAACTAGTCCCTTATTTTGTCATGTTTTTAAAATATTATCGGGGCTAACTGCCTGCATGTTACACTCTCTGCAACTTGGTTCCAAGGTATGTCTCCAATGAAATAACTACTGAAAACAGTCAATGACTATTTTCTTGCTTGTCTTAGTTCTATGCTCTTTTCCCTCCTTCTGACATTCAGTGTTCTTCATCACACACTGAGCTTCCACAGTACAATATAACCATACTTTGTTTTCTACAGAAGGACTATTTTTTATCTCTTTATTCACTGCTTCCTTTTTCCTTTTGCAACCTCTGGCTGTACATACTTTTCAAATTTTCCTGGATTTTTCTGTATCTGTGGAACACTTATGAAACAGTCCATCAGGGCCTATTGCTTTTGCTATCACTTTATGAAAAAAATTACAAATCTGTAAGTTTAAAGGTCTGTTCAGTTTCCACTGCAATATTTCCACCTGCAGCTCATGGAAGCTATAGCTACAGCACATAAAAATGTCATGTATTTAGCAAAGAACTATGTTCTCCACTAGGGGGAGTACATCAACCTACCAGGAGAGTATCCGAGAGTGTGAAACAATTTGTATTTATTATAAAAGTCTAAATAGTACTTCCTTATAAGCTTACAGTAAATTAAAACAAACTTGATTTAACTTTATTGCTAATTTTAATAATCTTAATAAATTATTCTATACTTATAGCTAATAAATTTCACACTGATTTTGCTGATCACTATGTTCAAATGTTGGCCACCATATTAAGATTTAATTATTGACCTAAAAATGCCTTAAAAGATGCTTAATACTGAATTTCTTTAAAAACATAACACTTCTACTTCAAAAATAAGTTCGATCCACTCTTCTCTCAGCTTTTTCTTCCTGCAACACTGTTGTTTGTTTTCATAAAATGACAGCTAAAACAAAAGACACATGCTTAAGTATGAATTTGGATAATGGACTAGATTCCACATATATCCTAATAAAATAAATAACTTTGTATTTCACAAATATAAAAGAATAGAAGAATCAGTGAGAAAAATAACAAGTCACAAATATATTATTATAGCAGAAAGAGATTTAGATTTCACATATAAGCTCTGCTGCTACTGGGCAACCTCAGGCAATTTCTCACATGTCAAACAGGAAGAGTGCCAATACCCTCACTGAATTATTTCAGGATTAAATAAAATACTGCTAATATTTAGCACAACAACAAATATATTATTATAGGTGTATGATAAATGATTTCTGCTAGACTAAAATTATTTTAATAAAATGCTTTTTAGTCTCTAAATTTATTAAAATGTAGCACTTGAAAATAAAACTCAGCATGTAAACACAAAAGAATATGTGGAAATAAAAGACTAAACCAATCAAACACCCTTAAACTAAAGAATAAAATCACTAGTTTTCTACATCCTGACAAGCAGTGAAAAATCACAGGCCTGCATCTCTATTCACATTTTCTAACCCCATTTTTATTGTCTGCTTTTGACCATTGGATCAGTTCACTTCTGTTGCTTTACTAGACACCAAGTCCATCTTCCCTCAAATCAAACAACATTAATAAATGCATTTAGACTTCCGGGAGAACATGGCAGACAGATAGCAGCAGCTACGGAGGCTCTCTGAAAGACCCAGCTTAGAATCCAGGAATGGTGCGGAGTGAGGAATCCTAAGCAAGAGAGGAGATATGCCCTGCTGACCCAAGAACGAACTGGGCTGAGAGAAACCAACTGGGAATGCAATCCTGGTGCTATAACAGGAACAGATAAAGCCTCAGGGTGGAAGCTGGAGCCCGCGCCATTGGAAACCGCGATTTAGGTTTCCTGCCGCCGCGGCTGCGTCTGAATTGGCTCAGCAGGGAGACAGATGCACAAAAGCTCTGAGAATGGGAATCGGTAAACGGAGTTGAGAGCAGGACAGGTGGGGAGCCGTGCATCCACCTTCGGTGAGTGAGGGAAAACTGGGACTCTTCCACGGTCTAGGAGACTCCAACAGAGGACATTCTGGGACCGGGCAGACTTGCGGGAACAGGGCGCCGTAGTGACTTCAGTCACATATCCCCTTCTCAAGCGGGACTGGTGAGCAGTGCCTAGCCTACATGACACTGCTGGCTGAGACACAATAGGCGAGCACAGCCCAAGTCCCAGCACCTGAAGGTGACATGGAGGGGCGGGCCCCGCACAGGCTGCCTGGTCCATAACTCCCTGGTGCTCTGCGGTGGGCGGGAACACCTAGCCAGCACAATTCAATCAGACTGTGGCCAACAGAGAAGGAAGCTGGGCCTCCTGTATACGCTTGCATATATAAGGAACAAAGAATATGGGAAGAAGGAGCAACAAGAAAGGCCCCTCAGCCCCCAATCCTGAGAAACAGACAATAGCGGACACTGCACTAACAGACTGTAAAGCGCTATCTCTAGAGCCTCGTAGATGAGTTCAGGAATGAAGTTATTAATGACCTGAAGCTAGACATAAGCAGAATAGTTAGAGAAATGCTAAGCACCACCCAAGAAAAAACAGATGTTGGAATGGAAGAACACAAAAAGAGGGGAGAATTGTTTGATGGAGAAAACAGAGAAAGTATAGAATACGTGAAGCAGGTTCAAAGAGATTACCAGGAAACTAAAAA